CCTAAATGGCTAAATGACATTGGCTGATTGGAAGTTGGAAGTGAAGAACTTTGAAATAAATTAGAAAATAGAAATTATTCAGAAATCACTGAAATCAGAATAAAACGCAGATTGATAATAAGTTATTATCCATATGTAACTAAACTCGCTGTTAAGTTCTAACTCGCTGCAAGGTCAAAGGAAAACAACTTTACTATTAGACTATTACTTTCATTACTTTGGCACTTGCCACTTGGCAGTGTAATTTTTAACTATTGTAGTGCACTAATTGTTTTGAATCTGAGGAGAAAGTCAGACTCATCATCTGAGTTCATCTCGTCTTGTCATTGGCTCATTGGATGATGGATGCTTATTGCTTATTGTTATTGTTCAAATGTTCATAGTTTATGATGTGTATTGAAATGGATAATTAATTGGAAAAAACAAATAACAAGATTGAATTGAATTGAGATTTGAGAACAATAATTCTGTATTTCTGTACTTTACAAGTTTGAAAATTGAAATACAGATTTTAATGAATTCAATTGGCATTTGACAAAGCCATTATTCAAGCCTAAAGAAGTAAGAATAAGATGTTGATAACTAACTAATGACTATTAGTTTGTTAACAGTGTTAAGTTACTCCAAGTCCACAGCCAAATAATGTACATATTCCAGTGATGCCACACATCACAAATTCACAAATCACAATTTCAAACTGCAGAACAAAATAAATACAAAGATTACAAACATTTATGAAAACAAGCAGTACCTTAAACTAAATGAATAACATAATTATCCATCATTTATGTTTGAACCTGAGTAAATTTTTGTTAAGAAACAACAATTTCTCAGCCAAGTCAGGGTCTAAGCGGCTTCTCAAATCACTGACTAGTGGTAACCGACCAGCCAATCAGAGATAGCGCAATGCTTGCGCTATCACTTTTTTTGTTTACACGAGCACTCTAGTATAAATTTATACCTCGTTGGAGATCACTTAATTGTTTCACTGTAATTTGGCGCTTAATAAGTTTCTATGTTGTTGTTATTATTATTATGCTTGGTGAGGAGACAGCTCCGCAGGGCAGTACGGGTAATCTATATCTCTGCACCAATGACTAATTGCTAAGCAGACTGACGTCAGGTCGATCAGTGTGTGTCCCTAAAAGTATTCATAGATAGGCTAGGTCAGCACAGGCCTGCTGGCTTGACGCAATTTGATGGTCGTCTGACGTGCTCGGTAAGGTGGCGGGCTGGCGGCCAGGCGCTTGGGCAGTATAGTTGCTTATTATTTCTGTTACAACATCATTGGTGATTGCGGTTAAGATGACGTCACGAATAATAATTACTCATCCCCGCACTATCATGTATGGGATTGGGCCCATTGGCCATTATTAGCGATGCTGACTCTAGCCTCTGGTATGTTCGGAATATTAAACATTAAACAAGCTCAACGCTCGAAACAATCGATTAATGTATTGTGATCGTGTGGAATTCGGGAAAGAGAATTACTTTTATTTCAGATTATGATCCGGTGAGTCACAAAATCTGGCAAATTCCTAAATCCGGTATATTCCGGATTCCGGTTGTTCGGATACATGTAAATCCGGCGGAACCGGATTTCACCGGATAGTGCAAAATCCGGCGGAACCGGATTCCGCACATCCCTAATAATTTAGATTCAAATTGTTACAGAAAAACTTGCATGGCCAAAAAATCTTGATATACTTTGAGTGTTATTTACAGGAGGCTTCTAACATATTTGTTAACCCAGTTTCTTAATTCCTCAACATTCAATTATTTATTTAAATTTCTTTTTTTTTTTTTTTTGTTGTTGCAGAAAACCAAGGACTTCTCAAAGGACCGATATCCTCTGAGTTCTGTAAGTGGAGACCAAGTTTCCTCTGAGAAAATTAAAGACTCTGCCCCAGTAAAGACAACTGACAAAGGTACCAAAATGGTTAGCTTTGGTAAATCTAGTCAAGTCAGCAACAGTGCAGCTTGTGACACTACCCTGGACATGTCAGTTATAGAAGGCAATAATGCAGACAATGCTGACAACATGAGCAGTAAAGCAGACGAGTCTCTTATGGAGCTGAGCTTTTCTAACTTGAGTAAAGCCAAGCCTGGAGCCACTTCATCTGTTACAGATGCGAGTTTTCTAAGCAAATCTTTCAAGCAATATCGTGATTCTCCTGGTCCTACCTCCAAGTCAACAGCGAAGACAATGAATTCTAAAACTGTCTCTGAGAGCAGTGATGATTCTGAGCTTGATGTCAGCGTGGAGATGAGTAATTTAAGCATTTCAGAGACAAAGACATCCTCATCTAATGAAGAAGGCCAATTGCCAGTTGGTGCATCGCTACCAACTGATTCGGGGGACACTAACAATGACAAAACAAAGAGTGGAAGTGCTGAGCATGAAAGCAATAATAATCTTCAGTCAGTAGGGAAACTCCAGGCAGATGTTAAGTCAAAAGTTAAGACAAACATACCTTCTACAAATGAAGCTAAGGCTTCTGCTACCGGACAACAACAAAACATTGAAAGTTTAGAAAGTTTGACTCAAAGGAAACATTTCTACGTTACGGAACTGAGTAAAATGCAGGTAATGATACTTCCTTTGCTTAAAATATTTGAACTTTTGCATTTTTAATTTAAATTATTTGCAGACTTCTTGAAACTTTCTATGAATCCGAATGTTGAAGAATTTTAAAATAAATTATAGTATGGCATCTTTGGCTTCTGATGTCAATTTCAATACAAGATGCCAAACATGAACATCTCTCTCTGAAGCCGTTTCCTTGTTCGAGTTATGCTTACGATGAGCACATTAGCAAAACTATTTGTATTACTGAAAGTCACTAACCACCTTATTATTCATTGATCATTATTTTTTCTGCTGCATGATTAGTAATTGTGGCCAATTTTGAAAATTATTATTCATCTTTTCCAATTCATTGTTAGGCTACCATGCGAGGTGTCAACCTATCAAATCTACCAGACAAGGGTCAGCGTATTGTGACCAAATTAGCTGAGACACAACAAAAATTGAAAATTATTGATGAACAAATCAAAATGGTTCCTAGAGGTAATCGGTAATGTTCCTTTCAATTTTTTCTTGCTTTGAGATGCTTGTCACTGGTAAACATTTACAAAAAGTATTTACTAAAAAAAATAGTGCCTTAAAATATGATACTTAACAATAATATAGTGTCATGGACTTCATTATTTTATAAATTTATTTTTATTAGATTTCTACATTAACATTTTAAAAAGTTTTCATTAAATCTCTAGATGTGCGTTTAAAAAAAATGTTTACTAAAGCTCTATATTTACATTTTTTAAATGTTCACTAAATCTCTCATTTACATTTAAATTTTTTTTTCCTAAATCTGTATATAACATATGAGTTTTTTCTTCATGAACAAAATGTAATATTGTGATATATATTATTATTATTGTGGACAGTTATTTCTCTACATACTGTTTGGAGGCTCCCTCCATCACACACACGTTTCTCATCTCCATAATGAAAAATGTCAAGTCTGTTGTTACGCACAATACGTTTTATTGTCATACTCACAGTATGATAAAGATATCAAGCACCATAATATTTAATGCTGGCTCCTTCAATATATAGGAACAATTTCAATAAGTTCAATAGCCAACATCTTCACACAGTAATAATTATGGAATCATCTGCTTTTTTTCTCTGCTTACAATTGTTGTAGCACCATGTATCTTGTGTACTCTTTCTCTAAGTCTCGTATTGATCGAGATTCTCTAAATATTCTCTAATTACCGAGATGTTACACTCTTACATTTACCTACTTTTTCAATGTTCACCCAATCTCTACATTTACATACTGCCTACCCTTTCCAGTATATAAAGTTAGCTCCTATTAAACCTGCTTTCAACTGGAACACAATTTGTACATTTGAATCAATACCAAAAAATACTTGAAAACAATACCTGACTGAGAACATTCTCCTAGCCCTACTTAGATATTTTAAGGAGTTGAGTGGTTCATTTTAAATTTTTCACCTATATGTTAAAGTTCTTATTTCAGAAAAGGATGGAAGTACAAAAAATCCCAATGGAAATACCTCCAACAAATCTGGTCCTCAAATTATTAAAGTCTACCCCAGTGCCAATGGCACAACACATGTAGTCCAGGTAGACTGATTTTTTTTTTGTCTCATATTTAATGCTCAGACCTATAGGCTTAGTAAAAAAAGTTTTCAAAACATAAGTTTTTGCTTTCCCTCTGCTTTTCCTCATTTTTATCAACTTTTTTCATGTTAGGTCTTCAGCCAAGGCTATCATGCTCTTCTGTACTGTCAAGTTGGGAAAGGATCAGCCTCCTGCTAAGCCGAGATAATTTATAAGGGGATTTATGTTTTTAGAATGATCTATGTCTTCCTCTATGGCTACTTTAAGTTTTTTGAAAACAGCTTATTGGTAATTTAGGGTTGTCTTATAAAGATGGTTTATAATTCCGCTAGCTGGCATCAGGGATGCCCCCATTCGGGGCGGTATTCCTGGTAAAAATTTATTATATATTTTTACGGATTACAATCTTTTTTCCAACAAAAAATTGGATCAGGTATGCACAATCCACAAACTGATATCATTTGAGATGCACTGAACTATGGGGACATTTTTTTCGAAATTACATATCATTGCGTCATTACATCATGTTTTATTTTTATCATGCTTAGAAAAATAATACTATTTAAATGGTAAATGAATAAATAAATACTTCAATTTTTAAAAAGTTTAAGTATCTCTTTTTGACATTTAGATTAAGTTGTGGCATAGAGTGAGCTAAAGTTGGACAGTGCTTAAGTATTGGATTGTGTTAGAAACATTTCTTGCTTTTACTGCTTCAGAACCCAAGTTCATCCAACAGCCAACCAACACAGGCAACTGGACAGCAGTATGATCCATCTCAGCTTGCACATCTGCCACAGTACCTACAACAACTTTTTGCATGTAAGTTTTTGTTATTCTTCATCCATACAATATACAATACTTGATTTTAGTGTTTCCTATAAAAATTTGTGTTCAATTTGATTTAAAATCCCCCCCCCCTCACCCCCAAACCCGTTTTTAAAAAATATGTTTTTTAAAAAAAACAAATATAACAGCCAACCCACAAGCAATGACGCTGTATGGTGGAAGAATGACAGCCCAGAGGCTGAGAGAAGTTGGGTCAATAACAACAGAAGCCATTGACAAATTGCACAAGTGAGTAGTTCATTGTTGATGGAAGGGGTCACAACTTGGAAGGGGCCTGTCCCATTCTATTCCATAAATCACTTTCTTTACTGAGCTTTGTGTGGGAACAGAAAACTGGACTTTGAAATATATTTATTTTGTTGAGTGGGTGCCCGAAAAACTAATGTGAATTTTTCTTTAACTGAAACTGTATCATCCTTTTAATAAAAAATTTAAAAAAAATAAAAACTGAAAGTGACTAATTATTATTTATGTTAATTTAACTAACAAAGGATAACAAACTAACAAACTAACAAAACAGTTAAATTTTGAAGCTCAAAAGATATGAAAAGAATATAATAAAACATAATCTGAATAAAGTATTTTTATGTATGCAATAGCCAACTTTTACGTTGCTTTAGTTAGTAGCTGAGTTATCATCAAACATTTTGCCAAACCGATCAAAAGTTATCAACATTTTTCAGCCTTTTAGAATATTTTTTTTTGTGTGTAAATCTTTATATTTTATAATTATCATTTATTATTATAAACTTGTATTTTTTCTGTTCTTTAAAGAATCTACAATGCAAGACTTCAATTTCTGCAGAAATCACTCATATATATAGTCAAAGATTACAATTGTTAAAATTATTTCGGTTAGTTGAGATCTTTTCTTGATGTTTATTCTAGACAGTTGGATACTTGTCCTGCAGACAGCACAGAACTTCCTGACCCAAAGGGATTAAAAGTCAGTCTGATGCCTCATCAAAGACAGGCTCTTGCCTGGTTGGCCTGGCGAGAACAACAGCACCCTCCTGGGGGCATTTTAGGTTTTTTTTTTATATAAGACTCTTTTGAATTTTTAAAAATAGTTTTCACTGACTGGCACCATCTGCAAGCCTTAGGCTGCCAATCCGTACAACATTATTATTTATTGTCATACAAAAAGAAAAGAAAATTAATAAATCTAGCACCAGTCCCTGGTGCAATTTCAAAACTTGTCCACCAAATTTAAAATTTTGGAAAATGTTTAAAATTTTGCCTGTTGGCAAGATTTGATCTGAAATAGCATGTCTTATTAACGGAAATATAATTTTTACTAATGAAAAAGGATACCTGATTTGGAAATGTAGCAGGTAGCAAGCATCCTTACAGATTCATGCAAAATTATTGTTTAGAGAATTAAAAAAACATACTCTTTTAATTACCCAAAATATACTAATAAAACTGATATAGATTTTTATAAATCATTGATCCAGCTGATGACATGGGGTTGGGAAAGACCCTGACCACAATATCCCACATCCTCAGACAGAAGGTGGCAACAGAGAGCCTGGGAGAAGAAGAATGGCTTAGCAGAAACAAACAAGTTGAAAAATGTATGTCTTTTTTACATTTAGAAAAAACCATGACCTAAATATGAGATTTAAAGTTATTATGATTTATTTTTCAAGTCTTTACTGATTTCATTGAGTGATAATAAGTATTTTAAACTTGTACTTTTATGTGATACAAATCACATTTGTTATATCCTGATCTCAGTGGACAAAGCTGTAAAGAAATCAAGAGCAACTTTAATTATTGCGCCTGCTTCACTTATACATCAGTGGGCCAAGGAAATAGAAAGACGAGTTAAACCAGAACTTCTCAAGTTTATTGTTTATCATGGTCCTACAAGAGAGAAAAATATTCATAAGTATGATATTTATTGAATAATATATTTAAATACCTCTATAATGATCATTATTTTTTCATGTGTAGAACTTACTGTAAAACAGACCTGGTTACTCTGACGATTTTGGTGTACAATTTACGATTTTGAGGTATCCTTTGTGAGTGTTCACTGAGACCTGTCAGAACTATGGTATTAAGAGACCAGTTGAAAAAAATATATTCTAGTTGTTTTTACCACTAAAAAAATAATAAAATACCATTTCTGTGATTAGTTTTACTTCTCTATACATCCGCCTTTGAATGAAACGAGAAACATGATTGGTTGTGGACCATCCATAATTTTATTACTCATGCACTGAGATGGGAAGAAGAAGTGGTGTTGACTTAGGAGCATGCAGGTTTCGTGGGGAGGTGTCTAAATATTTTTAAAGGACATATTGTTGCTTTGCATTTGCACAAATTTAGTCGAGATTTTTTATTGGTTGCTTCAGTGTTGTATGATGTAATTTTGTGACTTAGTTATTTCTTTGTTTGTATAAACAAATGCAGACCTGTTTACTCTTATGATTTTAGCATACAATGTACGATTTTGAGGTGGATAAATTATATATACTGTATGTTTAGTTTTTACCATTAAGAAAATGTATTGAACGATTTTGTGGTGATATGGTACGATTTTAAGAGTTTGAGGGTAAACAGGTCTGCAAATAAACTTATTTCTTCATTAAAATAGCAATAATTTTCATTCTTGGCATTAATGCACATTGGAAATATATATATCAGTACACGACTTTTTGAGATGTTACGCACCATTTTAGTGCACCTGCCCCATTTTTAAAATGATTTTTAATTTTAAAAGAGATCATAAGTAAGCTCAAATGTTAAATAAAAACTTTAAAAAAATTATACTACTAATATTAAAGTATTGAAATAAACACAGCAAGGTAAAGTGAACCTAATTTTCCACAAGCATTTCTTCAACTGTTCTCTGATTAAGTGTAGAATGATGCAAAACTATTTTTTTATATTTGAATATGAAAAAAATATTTATACCATTGATATTATATTTGTCATAAAATTAAACCTTTGTCATCCATAAATGGAATAATTTTTGTCTATATTATAGGCTCATTGACAATGATATTGTCTTAACAACTTACACTATAATCAGCAAGGAGGTGGGGATTGACCAAGATGAAAATGCTGACAGTCCTGTAACAGATCCAGACAAGGAGCAGACTGCAGAAGAGCCTAAAACTGATGTGAGTGGTCATCACACTTTGAAATGCCGGGTTTGTGTGCAGAGTACTAATGGTGAGGATGCATCTTGGTGATTATGAATGACGTTGGATCTGGCAATAACATTTTCAGCATATCTGAAGTAAGCTGCCTGATGTTAATTAAGTCTCCTTTAAAATTATGTAAAACCTAAATTGTTAACATGATTTATTTCAGCGAGCAGCCACGCCACTTCCCACACTGTTGAGAATAGGCTGGGAAAGGATTGTGCTGGATGAGGCTCACAACATCAAGAACCACAAGTCGTTGACGGCAAGGTCTGTGTGTCGGTTAAGGAGCATAAGCAGGTGGGCCCTGACTGGAACTCCTATACAGAATGACCTGATGGACATGTATGCTCTTCTCAGGTGAGTGGTTGTCAACTTATTCTAAATGGTAAAGGGCTATAAGTTTGTTTTTTTGTTTTTTTTGCAATGTTATGTATATCAATTGCTTGGTTTATTCTATCAAAATAATACAGCACAACTGTGAGGTTTTTAAATTTAATCTTTTTTTTTTTTTTTTTTTAATTTTTAGACATTCCACTATTTTTTTATTATAACACGCAAACACTAAAATGGTAAATATTGCTGGATAATTTACCATTGCAGTGTTTGTGAGTTATAGTAAGAAAATAGTGGAATATTCAATTTTTCAATTACCAAAGCAATTTAACAAATTTTTTAGATAAAGCATTGAGGCATTTGTACTGTCAAGCCTCCGAAAGGCATCACAAGCCATTTTGATCATGATTCCACTCTTCTCGGACTGCATTTAATTACACAAATAAATAAACAAAAAAACGATGTACTGAATTTAAAAAAAATAAAACTTTAATGAAAATTCAATGTTAAATGAGCTTTTCACTGATTCTATTCTAGGTTCCTGCGGTTTAGTCCATTTGATGAGTACAAAGTATGGAAGAGACATGTTGACTCTGGGAAAGGTATTTATCCATTTGATTAATGATAAGAAAATTTTTTAAAAAATGTAATTTGTTAATCAAGATGAATATTTTATTTTAAAATTGCGTCTTTCAGGTGATACAAAAAGACTAAACACTATTGTTAAATCCCTTCTTCTGAGACGCACCAAAGACCAAACGAGCCTAGAGGGCAAACCTCTTGTGTCCCTTCCAAGTCGCAGTAGCGAGACTATTCTGGTTGTTCTGACTACAGAGGAGAGAACAGTGTATGAGAAATTGTTCCGCAAAACTCAGTAAGTGATATCTATTAACTGTCTAATCTTAATTTTTTTTAATCATTTCTTATATTTTTGTTCATGAATTTCGCAACACTTTTTGCTTGAAGGTCAACTGTTAGGGCCTATGTGGTGCGTCACCAGGATAAAGAGTCTCTGCAGGGGGAGAAATGGAAACCAGATTCTGGTGCTTCCCAAACTGTTGGGTCATTCTCAAAAGCTGGTGGAGCCTCAAACACTACAGAGGCCAATGACAGGGTCCCTCAGACACAAGGTGGCAAAGCCACAGGCAGTCAAATCTTGGTGCTCCTACTTCGTCTTCGACAGTGTTGTTCTCACTTAAGTCTCATGAAATCAGTAGGTCAAAATATGTGGTGTTATTTGTGTCTAAGGAGGTTCATTACAATACATTGTCATTCACTAGCCTGTTGGTTCTTAAGCTGCCCCTCTTTGTTTTGGCAGGGAAAGGCCTGAAAGGTGTGTAACTCGCTTATGAGTTGAACCCCACAAGATAATATGCCAGTAGGAACAAGACAGTACAAATAAAAATAAAATAATTTAAAAAGTCCAAATTTAAACAAATAATTATTGTGTAAGTAAATAGACTTTAAAACTAATAATATATAAAACATACAATCTAATGTATAACACTTAACATTTACAAAAATAGGACCTCTGCGATCCACAATAACTATTTCATTAATATGGGTACTTTGATACTCTCTATGCACAGACTATTTCTGCAGAGGCAAATAAGGAAAAAATAAAGAAGAAAGTGACACCTAGGGCGGACCACCCCCTTCCCAAAAAACACCTGAAAGATAACCACCATAACCCATTACTTAAGGAATGTGGATGCTCCGAAAAATTCAGCTGTATTTATTATCTTCTTAAAGCTAGTGGTGTTCCTATTTTTAAAAATTGTTTTCCTTTAAAGAATAAATATTTAATTTGTTTATTTTTTACTTCAGCATTTGGAGGCAGAAGCTTTAGAGTCTGATGGAATACAACTTTCACTGGAGGAACAGATGAGAGGCATGGCCATTGAGGATATTACTGGGGACTCCAGCTCAGACTCTGCTCAAAATTTGGTGGCTCTTTTTGACAAATCTGCCCAAAGTTCAAAAGTTAGTTTTAGAAATTGATTCCAGTATTTTCATTACAATATTCACTGAGGTATTTTCCCAAAAATGTTAACATTTATTAAGAAGGTTTAGTGTGTAATCTGTAAAGTTAAAATATATATGTGTAAGTACATTTTTTTCTAATACTATAAATGCTTAATACATAGAAGAAGAATAAGATGTAGGTAAAAATTGAAATCCACACTTGGAGCTGAAGTTCATTTTTATATTTTTTCACTCACTCACTTAACTGACTATACAAATATAAATATTTGTGTATTTAAAAAAAAAAATTAAACATTTGTTAATATTACCCAATTTAGGTGTTTTAACCTCGATCTGGTTTTACCATCTAATTTCACAAAAGTCTAAATGAAATTAATATACCCAAGGTATAATGTTTTAGTGTAAATCCAATTTTCCTTTTTTTCAGTTGAAAAATGTTATAGAAAAGATAAAGTCAATACAGTTGGATACAACTTCTCAGGGTAGACAAAAAAGGTTAGTGTCTCTCATTCAAATGATTTTTTTTTTTTTAAAAGAGTCTCAATTAAAACTTACTTGAAATGTCACCTGTTCCTAATTATTAAATGTCCAAATTGAAACTGTTTTTTTTTTTTAAACATGTCACTTTTTTAAAAGAATGATAAGTTTAGCAAAGTTTTGACTTTTCAATTCCAGTGTCATAGTGTCCCAATGGACTCAGATGCTTGAAATAGTTGGCCACCATCTGGAAAAAGCTGGAATAAAATATAGTATCATTCAGGGCAATATTCCAGCCAAAAAGAGAATGGATATTGTTGATGATTTCAACACAAACTCTACTGGAGCACAGGTATGTACAAATCTAACAATACTGATGTCATTTGTAAGTGTAAGGGTCATTAATGGTTTCACTCACATGAAATTTTTTTTTTAAAGGGGTCATCCATAAAAGACGTCCACACAAAAGGGGGGAGGGGGGGGTTCAGCAAAAAGTGGACAAAGGGGGGGGAGGGGTTTTAGGACAAAGTGGATGTCCACATTGTAGTGTTTTTTTTAGTGCAGCAGTTTTGCATAAATTTACTGCTCGATCACAGTTACAGTAGCATGCCTTTTGATCTCTATTGTCCATCGGTGGCTGGAAGAATTTCCAAGAGAATATGTTTCTACGGTAAATATTTCCCATCGCAGGCGGCAATGAAAAAACATAAGGTCGTCCATTGCAATATTCCTGCTAGTGAACATAATATGGCAGACAAATCAGACGAAAAGACTGCCACTCAAATTGAATTAGCAATTGAAGACTCAAGAACAGATGTTGTCATTATACGAAACATGTTTGAACGGCTGCAGTCTGAATTTTCCGTTGATTGAAGAATGGTGGATTATTTGTTTATTACATTTTTTAATACAGTGATTCAATAAAATGTTTTTGAACAGTTATTATTTCATTTAGAATTTTGCCTGCAAATAATTGGAATTTCTAAAAAAAATCTTTGCAAATACATACTCTTTACATTGTTGTACATTTTCCCAAAATATTTATTAAGTTCGGTAAATTTTATGTTTTGGACGTCCACAACTTGGGGGGAGGGGGTTCAAGTCAAAAGTGGACAAAGGGGGAGGGGGGGGGGCTAAAAAATAGAAACAAATTGGTGGACGTCTTTTATGGATGGCCCCAAATAACTTTGCACTTTGCGAAATGCTTCGTAACTTAATTTGAATAAAATGCTAAATATCTCCTTTGACTTGATACAAAAGTTACCTTTTTTTTTAAATCTCTGTGTAGGTTATGCTGCTGTCTCTGAAAGCAGGTGGTGTGGGCTTGAATTTGATTGGAGGGAATCATCTGTTTTTGTTGGATAACCACTGGTAGGCGCAAAAAATCCTAGACTCATTTATAATAAATATTGCCCCTTCTAATCTGTTTAAATAAATTATCTGTAGAAAGGTTGGGATGATTTGACTATGTTTTGCCGGTATGTCATCAAAGGCCACTAGACTCTTAAAGTGCTTTAATGAGTTTTTGCTTTTAAAATAATTCAAATGTTACTAATATAAAATCAACAGTCCTGTTCATATTTTTATTTTTAAAATTAAATCTTTCAGGAACCCAGCTTTGGAAGAACAAGCTTGTGATCGCATTTACAGAATGGGGCAGAAGAAGGATGTGTTTATATACAAGTAATTAAAATTTCTTGTTCTTTCTGCTTTCAAACAGTCTTAAAGAATCCTCAACTTGAGGTTGTAAAATATATTCTAAAAAAAAAAAATTTGGACTTGAGATAACCATTTTTTTCACTTCTTTCTGTTCTTTCTTTTTTTAAATATTATTTAAAGTTTCAATAAGCATTGCTAATGACACAAAGCAGTCTGCTTATTTTTTTTCTCCAGTTTGATATTTTAAATATCTTTTATTTGATTAAAAATACAATTTTCCAAATGCTAACATATCATAATGAGTTCTCAAAGTTGCAATCAATTTTTTTTTTTTTAAAGGTTTCTATGTAAAGATACAATTGAGGAGAAAATAGTGGCTTTGCAAGAAAGAAAACTTTCATTAGCAAAATCTGTTCTTTCTGGGTAGGTCTTAGATTTTAACTAACAGTAACAGTTTATAATTTTTTTTATATTTCATTTCAAAGATTTGCTTTCAATAAAAGTTAATATTCTAATAACATATTTAGCATTTGTTAAGATACAGTTAACTATTTTGTATTAAATTATTAAAATGTAAATAAGATACAATTTTCATTTTAATATTGAATTCGGATTTCTTTTACTTTTTTTAACTAAAAATATTTTTTTTCTTTAAAAAAAAACCCGATAATTTCATTTCCCTTACACAATTATGTTATCTTCTATCTGCAGTGCTGCAACCAGTAGTCAGAAACTGACTTTGTCTGACCTACGATCTCTTTTTGGAGTATAATCTCTAATTTTTTGTGTAACTGTGTTGTTAATATTTAAAACTATTTGTTAACTGTTTCAAGTTGTTGCTCTAGGACCAGTTTCTAGGTTTTGTTTTGTTTATTTCATTTGCTTTTACGGTGCTGTTAATTATTTGACAAGACTGTGATTTCAAGCTGCTATAAATTTTTCATTAGCATTTATGGCCAAATTTATATTTCATTGAAATTTTACTTGCTATTTCCCAAGTTTGTAAACTTAATTAAAAGTGCATTTTTTTTTCTCAAAAAATTAATGCATTACAATTGTTAATATTGATGTGTGGGCCAGAATAAGCTGTATAATCCTGTTAAAGTGGAAATGTAATGTTCAAGTTACGGGTGGCCAACCTTTTCAGGGGGCGGACCAAATTTCAGAAATAATATTTCCTAGCCGGCCACCCACCTATTTTTTTTTTTTTAAAGTAAACAAGGAAGGGTGCTACAGCTTTTGACCACATCGTTGCTTCCCAGTAGATGAGATCGTGGTCAAATGATTGCCTGGTTTAATGTAAAAAAAAACACAAAAAAAACAAGAAATTTGTATATTTTATTTTAATTTAATTTTTTTTTAAGAGAATCAAATATTTATTGCACAATTTTAAAATATTTCAAAGTGAGGCATCTGACTTTGTTTTGCAGAATTAAGTGCATCAATATTAATCTCGACTGATGTTGTTGTTACACACAAACAGTTTTCCAAATGAACATCAGTAATTCGTGTTCTCACTTGGGATTTGATGTGCTTCATACGACTAAAAAGCTGTTCACCCGCATAAGTGTTTCCGAATAGCGAAACCATCGACAGAGCGTATTTGTAAAATGCCGATTATTTATCCTCGTCAAAATACATTTTATAAAACTCTTCCAAACCAACTCGATGGAATGTCTCCTGTGTGTCACAACACATTTCATAATGTTCCATTTGTATTAAATTCACGTGTACGTTAATGGCGTTGCAAATGCACAAAAAAGCACATGATGTTTTTAAAAAAATTGAAATTGGTTTTCAAATTCAAGGTTTAAGTCAGATATCAAAGGAGTGTATTTCTCCACCGCCTTCTGTGTGACGTCTGGTTGCAATGACAATATAGGAAAGTGTGAGTAAAGTTTTTTGTCCTCAACTGTTGTTCCCAAAGACCAAGTTTCATTTGAAATGCAGACAAATGATCATACACCTTTTAATTAATTGATCTTTCTTTTGTAGACGAGTATTAATGTCATTTAGGTGGCTAGTTATATCAACCAGAAATGCAAAGTCGCAAACCCACTCTTTATCTCCCAACTCTGGTTTGCGATACAAATAGACTTGCTTGCAGAGGATGATTATATTTCTTGCTGCAAAACACTATTTTCAACATTTTGGCACGGGTCAGCCATCTTACTTCTGCATAAAATGTAACGTCAATATAATTCTTAGAACTGACGGTGATGCAGCCCATGAAGATCACTATTTTGACGACCACTTGGAAGACATTGTTTATTTTGAGGGACTTCGAACACACTTCTCCTGATGAATAATGCAATGTAAATTAAAGCATTGAAATATTACCGACTTTGGAGGCCTCATTTTCAATCAATTTTACTAAACCTTCATGTTCCCAAATATTGCTGAAACACCCTCCATTGTTAAGCCCTATACGTTGTTAGGGTTATAACGAAAAGTGATTTAATGTCAATGTAACTGCCTCTATCAAATATCGTGACTTAGTAGTGTCCTTAAGTAGATACTATGCCGCTAATTCTTCTGTCTTTTTAAAATGGACATCAACGCTCCTGATAAAAATTGCCAGTTGGGCAGTATCTGCCATGTCTGTGCTTTCATCCAATGCTAGAGCATATAATATAAACTCGAATGTTCGAAAATTATCTTCAATATGTTTTCCAATATCATCCACGTGCCAGTAATAGTCTGACGAGACAGACTTATTTTTAAGAAATCCTTCTTCTTTCTGGACACAAAATTTCAATGATGCTCTCCATGGTATTTAAACAATGCACAGTGCTTTGGTCCGTGCTTTTTAGCACGGCGGATGAACGCACAGTGTGTTGCACCGCAGCGAAAGAGGTAAATTATATAAATAAAATGTTTCAGGGTTTACTTACCTATAAAATAGATATGGTAGACAGGATACTTGGTTATAATAGTTTGTACTCTTATTATAAATATTATAAATACGTATTTCAACGTCGATCCCAAAATATCTCCAGACGCAGTGGCGATAATAGAACGAAACTACTGTATAACACGGAACTTGGTCAAGCTAGACTGAAAATAGTTATGAGAAGAGCCCATTGGCGTTGTGAGCTTCCCAAAAGACCATAGAACATATATAGCAGAAGTTGAAGTCTCATATTATATTAAATTTTATCAATACCTAACTTCAGATATTTAAAATAACTCACAACCAATGAATTTTTTTTAAAAATCGAGATATTTCAAATTACTCTTAGTATAATTTAAAACTATATGATACAAACGACTAATGATGTAATGTTCTTTTAGCAATATGTGCAATAAAGTTATTAACTTTATTAAAATTTATGTTCATTTGACCTTTTGATGTCTCTCTTTATAATTTAAGAGATTGGAGTATGAGATGTTCATTGTGTTTAACGCAGGATCCAAGCTGTGTTTGTTTGTAGTTTGTGCAATTCAGTCGGGTAGTAATGGTGAAAGGGAGTAGGGACAATTCTTAATGAATTTTTTAAAATTAACAAACTTAAGTCCAATTGAAAGTCAAATATCCCATAAACAGTAGTGCAGCAGTTTTTATTCGCGCAATATATTTTTTGTTAGCTGATAGTGCTATTAGATATCTTTTTCTTTATGACTAAGATCTGAAGTATTAATAATGCGAATAATTTTATAAAGCGGAAATTATTTTGTGATAGCATGTGCGGCCCTTGGTTTGATGGAAATATTTTTTTGGCCCACCGAGTCAAAAGGATTCGACAGCACTGATGTATGGTATCACATTATGTCCAGTGTTAGCTCCATTAATAATTATTAGTTGTCCGTCATTCTATATTTTATGAATTTTAAATTAAATGATATATTTTTTTATTGATATAAAATCTTATACCATTTTCTTAAATCACCATTTCTTTATGGTGGACAGACAAAATTGTATTTGTTAATTTTAAAAATTAGTACATAAAGAATTAAAATTTCTTATTAAATGAGAATTTACTTTTCCTTCTAGTATTGAGCAATGAAATATATATTTAAGGAGTTATTCATTATTTTTATTATTAACTTGTCTGTTAATAAGGGCATAAAAAGATAATTTACCTTGTACAAGCATGAAGAAATAGTTTACTGTACAAAGTTAAATTTATATCTATTTAAATTCCAATGCAAAAAAAAGAGGAATAAGACTTCAACAAAACAAACGAATGCATTAGAATAGTTTTTTATAAGAATTTTTATTTTTTCAAGTGCAGCATTAGCTAAATACATAAGATATGAAATCATTACAATTCATATTACAGGAACAGTTCCTATCTACATAAACAAATGATTTGAGATTTAATTTTCAATTCCAAATTTTCATGTTAATGAATGTCATAAAATACAAATTCCAAGTGCAAAAAAAATATTTAAAAACAAAAAAATACTGGCTTTATTTGTAGTCATGACAAAATAAAAATTAAACAACCTTTCTCCCCTTAAACTTAAGCAAAAAAATGCAGATCTAAAATAAATATTGCACACATTAATATTTAATATTTGGTTTGTGTATGGAGTGTTAGGTCCAATATGTGGAGGTGCAAATGTTACTAGGTAACCTCATTCATTTTAACATAACATTGGTTGGGGGGGGGGGGGGGGGGATGCACAGAACAAGAAACAGTGACAAATAGAAACAGTTATTTTCCATTAAACTTTTCCAAAGATGCAAATTTCTATTTATTTGTGAGTTGAGCAAGCTGCGTAAAGGTAATTAATTTCCTTACTTTCGATGATTACTCCAACTAGACTTGCAATCTACAATTACATGATTCTCCATTAAAAAATTATAGTGTAAAGTGCCCAAGTTTTATTTTATAAAAACTATTTCTTGTCACTGACACTGTATCCAAAATGACTTATTATTGTATTTTAACAATATAGGATGTTAAAAAAGCTGCAAGTAAAATACTTGGAAAAAACTTCATACCGGTAGAATTAAACTGGGCAGTTTCTGTCTGTGCTGTTATATATACATAAACTAAATGATTGGCCCTATGGCAAGGGTACCAATGCAATGCTCAGCATCAACTAATGACAATTATTCCATCCACAAACATGCAACTACAATATTATAAAATTTAACACTCCACACACAACAAATATAATCAAATGCCTTCACAAATTAACATTCAAATATGAGTATTAGTTTAAAATGTGATCTTAACTGGGTCTTGAATTCACTGGACGGTCATTCAGTATAATTTATACACATTAGAAAGAAGAAAAATATTTGCTGTGCAACAGTTTCTTCTTTTTTTTTTAATTGTAAGTAACCCATGGGATATTTATTGTGAGTTGCTATTGATGTGTATTTTTCTTTCTAACTTTTGCTCATCTATGAAATTTGAATGAGATCAAAACAGATGAAACATGATTGGTCCAAATAATAACTAGGTTAAACAATATCAGGCCTCTATCAATTTTCATTTGTAAGCACCTTCAACAGTGGCCATCATTGTCAATATATAACTATTAAGTGAGGATAAAATTTAAAAAGTTGTATAAAAAGGTGATCATAGTTATGTATACAAAATAATACAAAAGTACTATGGTCAATGTAGTTAACTAGTTATGCAATGGTTGCTTCCGTTTATAGGATATTGTCACATTAGACTGAAACTAAACCTTGTATTTCATTTAAAAGAAAATAACAAAGCTGTGGATTAAGCTAAGCATTATTATTTAAATGCTGTGACAATCTTGTACTGATCATGATAAACATAAATAAAAACAATTGATCAAGCTATGCATGAATGATTTACGGTGATGTGGGATTCTCATTTTAGGCTGCAGGAACTTTTGAGCAACAACAATTGTGTGACTGAATGGAATGTGTGCCCAATCATTTATATTAAGCAGAAAACTTTTTGTTTTATGAGGGGAACTTGAGGACTTTACAAAATATGTTGAAAAGCAATTCAAACATTGTTTTTAGTTTAAGATAATACAGTGTCACTTAGAGTAGCTAGAGAAGGTTGATCATTCTCACAACCAATAAATAAATTGAGAAGAATTTAAAATCATCATTATTTCGCCTTTCCCTTAAGACATTCTTGATTATAAATTAAACAGCATTAGCACCACATCAGAATTTCACCCACTTTTAGCTCCTTTTTGAGACAGAAAAAATATCAGTTCAATCTTTTATTAAAAAAAAAAACAATGTGAAGTCAAACAATCGGTTACAAGTGGTTATATTTTTGACTGTCTTAAAGTAGAAAAATATTTTCACATGCGTAATACAAATAATTTTTAAGGTTAAAAAAAAAAAAAAAACCTTCATGAAACACTTTGAAATTTGAGACTAAAAAAAAATAATAGTAGCTGTTCACAAAATGTTTATTTATTTGAATAACACTGTTATTAACAGAGTTGTCCAATTATTACTATTTGCATTTTTTTTTAAACGAGAAACTAGGGCCCCTGCAATCTAAAATAAATGTGCAATGTGTAATCAAGAAAAAAGTTAAACTACAGCTTAAATCTTAACTTAAGTTTATTTGACAGGTAAAAACCAAAACCATAGTAGAACATTTGAAATACTAAAAAAGGTGTTGCGTTTGTTTTAAATGTGGTTAATTATAGATATGTTTTTTGTTGACTTTGTACCGCGCTTCGAGCCTTTGGGGATGAAGCGTGTTTTTGAAATGAACTTTATTATTATTATTATATATATATATATATATATATATATATATATAAATATTGAGTTACAGAACAAAAATGTTTATTTTGGTAAAATTGCACCAGAGATTAGTAATAGTATACATGATCAAAGCTATCAGAGGTCACAGCTAAAAATAAACAGAATCACACTTGCATGATCAGTATTCAACATGCATGGAATAATTAACAAAAATTTACACACCAAAAGATCTGTTATTTTTACTACCCACCTTAAGTATGGCATTGTTTCCAGTTGATCTCTATCGATACAATATGTTTTCACTAATAGTACATATTGATTAATTTGATGACATACCATTAAGCCCCTGTCATGCAAACTACATTAGGTAGTCAACACTGAATTGTCATGACCATTTAAGAGGTATTCTTTTTGTTCACAAAATTACTGTAAGAATAATAAAGTGATAATTGCCATGTAATCTTTTGTGAAATTTACTAAGTGGTTTAAGCAAAATCATGCCTCACTGTGAAATATAACGCTAAGTTGAGATAAAAGATATAAAATAAGGAGTAAGTGAAAGACATTTTATATCTTACCAGCTCATAAAGCATTTGTTATGTTCCTTCATACCCCAAGCAGTTGAAAAAGGAAAGGTGGTGGATGTCCATTGCTAATATAGCAATCACAAAAATTATTGGAGGACAAACAAAATCTTTAAAAATAGTTGAAAAAGATTATTTCAAAATCTACAGAAAAATAACTGTTGCTGTTATTTTGAACTTTTAGTTCTATTCAGTTTGATGGAATCATAGATCATGGTGTATTTTTACAGATTTTCTTTTAATTGAGAAGTTAAACAATCAAGAAATATATGCCTATTGCACTAATGCTAAAAACTGCCATTACATATAATAATTGTCTAGGTATGTTTGAATGCATGGCTCTAACGCTGTGTTCAGGATGTGACAATTACAAAAATAGCCAGAAGTTAAAATTTTTTTTTTTTTTTTTTTTTTGAAGTGCATTATTTAAATGCATTTTTTTTTAAAAAAATTTTTTTTTTTTTTTTTTTTTTGAAGTGCATTACTTAAATGCATGTTTTGTCAAGAAACTTTAGCAGATGGGAAGGTCATGCATTGCTGCCACCATTGTTTGGCGGGTTGTTTCTAGTATGTATGGTTATGATATTGAACTGAAAAGGTTTGGCTTTAACATATCTGATAAGACTAAATCATCAGAAAATGAGTTTTCCGCTGCAGGGATAATGTAGGCAACCTTACAGGTAATACTAGTAAGTAATAGAAATTAGAGATGTGGAGAGTAAGTTTCAGCTCTACAGCCAGTATTGATTATTGCGTAAAACAGGTGTCGTTGTACGGCAGTGTTGTAGTAGATCAGGGTCCATCAATGTCCAGTCCATAAGGTCATTACTGGCATTTGAACCTCTTCCACTGGTCACAGTTGAGCAACGTTCTATTTCCTCAGAAGCTTGCTCAGACTGGCTATCATGTGTGGGTGTGGATTTCAACCCAGGTGTGGCGTGGTTGATCTCCACCCTTGTAATATCTGGGGAACCAGGAGAGCTGCCATTCAGCAGATGCAAGGCTTCATGTGTGCTGCTCATGTGAGATGTATTGACATACTCATTTTCCTCTCCTTGGCCCACCATAAGAGCAGTGCTGTCCCTACTGTTGGGTGAAATCATCCCATCTTGATGTGCCTCTATCAGTACATGAGGCTGCTCTAATTGTAATGGTCCGCTAATAACAGGTCGAATTTTTGTTGCTTTTGTCTCATGCACCAATGCTGCTTGGTTCTTCCTTCGCCAGCGTAGGAACAACACCACCAAGACAATAATGACACATAAAATGAAGATTAATGAGAGAACAATGGCAATTATTACAACATTACCATTATCATCAGAATCAGACTCAGAATCTAATACAGGCTGCTTTTCCCCAACATCACTTTCTGTAACAATGTCTTTCTCTTCATCTTCATCATGAGATTTGCCTTCATCCTTTCCAGGCTTCTTGTCCACATTATCATTTTCTCTCTGAACTGGATCATTCAAATGTATAACTAGCTCTCCTTTGGCAGATGGCACACCTTTGGCAGACAACCAAAACGTAAAGTTATCGGTCTTGTCATTTATATTAACACCATTTGCCACATAGTAAATTTTTGTGTAAAGAATATCCTCAAAAGTAAAGGTGGAAACTGGCTGAAAATTATTTTCCAAAATGGCCTGGCGTCGCTGCCTGTGCCGCCGCATTATTTTACCATGTTTCGGAGGGATAGAGATGCTGAATCGAGGATTGTCACTGGTGATTTGTACAAGCTCACTGGCATCAAGGCTTGACCGAGTAATGGCCACAGGCAGGCCCTTTGAAGTGACAAGAGGACCTTGTTTGATGAGGGGCTTCATGACCACATCAATCTGCACTGTATCAATGGAGCAGTCAATATTGTGCAAGGCAATATCGCAAACGAAAAAGTCATCTCCTGGTGAATCTTTATCCTGCACGTATGTTATAGCTCCACCGTCTATGTGCGCTTGTCTGAATTCTCTTGCAGGTGAGTTTAACATTCTTAGCCGACCAAACTGAGGTGCCTGAGTGATCTTGTATGTGAGGGCGTTGTAATCCCCATTGGTGGACACATTGAGGAATACGTTGGAAAGCTTTACTGACCTGCTGCCTTGAATCACAGGCACATGAGCATTTTTGCCAACTTCTATAAACAGAGGTGTCACATTGATGTCCATGTTGCTGAAATGAGGCTGGAACATTCCATCCCAGACTTTAAAATATAAGAAGCCGCTGGATTCCCTTGATCCATCATGTTTAAATATCAACCTTCCATCATCTATGTCCTTCTGGGTAAAGGTCACAACCTGAGTTTTGTTTTCTGGGGACCTGACCAATATCCCGTTCTTCGGCTGGGTTAATATGGTGTACTCTATCCCTTCTGGCCCAGTGTCAAGGTCAACAGTGGTTAAAGCATGAGAGGTGACCACAACCTCGGAACCCTGAAGGACAAGAATCCTGGGATGCAGTGTCACCATCTCAAACCCCATGTCATTGATAGGCTCAATGAAAATGTCAAACCTGAATGTGTTGGCAGTGGAATTGCTGAGTTCTCCCGAGGATCTTGGGATCATGATCTTTACAGTGAACAGAAATTTATCCCTTAAGGTGTCAGAGTTATCGTGTCTGTATGTTAACAGGCCACTGTCCAGATCTTCCTGTGTAAACACCTCACCAACCTCCGCCGCCCTTCCTTTAAACCACAAGTACCCATGGTTTGCTGAGGACATGAATGAAAGCTCTACACTCACACCTGCTCTGAAAGTCTGTAATTTCAGAACAAAGTCAGTGGAGTCAAAATTATCTTTGGATATCGGGATTTTATCACCTTCTTTGATGTAAGGTGTTTTGATGTTCAGAAGAGTCTGGTAGTTGTCCTCATTGATATTAGAATAAGAAATATCCACTTTTAAAGTTTGGTTGCTCAGCATCTGAGCGTAGGCAGCTGTTATTTCAAAGAATATTTGATCTTTCTCCGACCAGTTCCTTATAGAACTAAAAGGTTGGAAGTAGATTATCCCCTCGTTAATATCAAATTGGGTGAATGAGTTAATTTCTGCCTGTTTGTTGGCTTTGGACACAAGTTTTCCTTTCCTTGGCCGTGGCTCCAGAATGGTGAAGACAATGGGGTGCGTGTAGTTACTGGATGAGGTTTTGGCCAACAGAGACATATTGGTGATGGGCTGCGGGACCCCTGGGAATGCTTTGATGGAGCCACTGACAGCAAGGGTAAGCTGGACTGGCCTGGCCCTCAGTTTGAATACATGGGTTTCATCTTTGCTGCGGCCATCTGTTGCTTGAAAGGTGAACTCTCCCATTTCACTTCCTGTGAATAGAAAGATTTTTAAATGCAAACATTTTCAAACAAAATATTTTTTTTAAAAACCCATTTAGTTTTTAAATAGAATGGTTTTCAAGCATACCCTTCGGTAAAAGTAAAAAAAAAGCATTTCATAGACTTAGGCCATTTTTACATCTCGAGTGTCAATAACAAATACTGTTTAATGCCCATAGATAACATAAAAAAAATATTTGGTGAATTTTACAACAAAAGAAGAAAAAAAACAGATTAGTTTCTGTCAAATATTAAGAATGATGCCCTCAATTTCCACATTTTTTGCAGATGTAAAAAAAAAAACTGTATGCTCTTATAATATTAATCTACACACATAAAAGGAAAAAAAAAAGTATATTTCCATTATCAAAAACTGTTTATTTAATTTGATCATATTACAACTCATAATTTTAACATTTTATTATTCAGATAATTTGTTTAACCAAATTTAATGGGTTAATGCAACAGAACCATGAATATGGATGGAGAATATGAACCAACCAGGAATTGTACAGTCTATATCAGGATCCCATGCCAGTAGCAGAAATAAAAATGGGTAGGCTATGCTGGGCAGGACACTAAGAAAGAATGCCAAATGACAGAGGAGTGAAGAGGGTACAAACCCCCAGAGGTAAACGGCTCAAAGGCACACCTAAGCTTAGGGCTTAGATGGATTGATGATGTGGAATAAATATACAACAGCTAGGAAATCAAGCACGGAATGAAAAGCATTAGTTAGTGGAAGGAAGTAGTGAGGCAGGCCAAAGTCCTACATGGGCTGTAGCGCCACAGGGATGAATGAATGCAACAGAACTTAAATTAGTGAATAAACATTGCACCCAGACTATTTAACTCAGTAAGTATTTACTGTGACTTGGCTAATTATTGAATGGACCTTACACCAGAGAAATGTCATTATCATTACAGGGGAGTGGTGCTGTAAAAAAAAAAAAAAGCCAGGCAATAGCCAACTGGTTCTAACTATGAGTGAGCATTATGCCTATGAACTTACTAGCAATTTTGGGTATAAAACTGGATGGTTCATATAATTATAACACATGTGTTATTCCCTGGTTTTTATTTGAGGTTGTACTTTTCCCTTGGGTCAGCATTTAAAATCGGCCAAGGAAATGGCCTGAGATACTTATCATGAGGGTTGGTGGGGTGAAGAGATCTCTCAAGAAAAATATGGCAGCATAAGAATTGTTTGTAAAGATGTGTAAAATGGATAGTGTAAAGCAATACAAATATTTGAAAATAATTCATTAGTATTAAGATCTCATATCATGAAACATTACAAAAGCAGTAGTATAACAATGAAGAATCTTATTGTTCATTTTGTGAAATTGGATCAGCTAAGATTACAGCTGACTAATTAGAAAAAAAAAAGAGTAAGTTTTTTAAAATAAAATAACTCTTGACTAAGATATCAAAGAAATTCATACTATTTGATTAGCCAGTGTGTTAGCTGGGGCCCTAAAGAACGAGAGCCCTGCCCCCAACAGAATATGAATTAGTATTAGTTTAATCCCTTGGTTGACTACTGTTATTAGACTCAATTATAAAAAAGACACAGACCATGGTAAAAAGCTTAATTTTAGCACTGTCCTTTGCTTACCTTTATGAACAAAGACTATGCGCTGGCTATCCAGATCTTGTTGTGTGAACCTCGAAATTTGCTTGAATGTGTTGTTCAGGAAAGCAAGGTGGCCGTTTGAAGGTGGCGATAGTACACGATACTCAACCAATGTGCTGCTTGAGTCAGGGTCTGATGCCTGGAGATGCTGGTTGGTCAACAGGCTCAGGGACCCTGTCCACAGATCTAAACCAGTGTTGACCACGACCCTAGGGGGTTGGTCATCCACAGGTGTGACCGACACCTTTAAAACGGTTTGTTGCGGTGGAACCGCGGCATCTGGTGCCTCGGCCTTGACAACAAACTCATCAGATACACTTTCACTGCCATCGTGGACATAGGCAACCCTGCCTCGAGTCACATCCTCCAGGGTGAAAGAACTCACTTGTGCCTCCTTCTTGCCATTTTTCAACACAATTTGACCGTGGACTGGAGCCTGGAGTACTGAGTACACAGGCTTCCCATTTTGAGCCAGGCGCCCTCTTAGAGGCAATAACTGGCTGGCAATAGTCACTGTCCCACCTTCAGCAACAGTGACGTTCACCCTGTTGACCTGCTGTGTTTGAGGGATGTTCTCAATGAGAAACTCAAGCTGCCTTAAACTTTGGAATTCTGTTCCCACATCAAACACAAACTTATCTGAGATGCTATCTTGGGACTGACTGACATAACTAATGAGCCTGTCTGCGATGTCCTGCTGGGTGAATTCTGGGACGTTGCCAGTTTTAACCGGGATACCCTTGATCATCAAATGTCCGAATCGAGGCAACTGGGTGATGATGAATTCAATTTCATTCGGTGGGTAATTCTTATGGGCAACTTTGAGAAGATGTTCTGTTATAGCCTCAGACTGCAGTGCTTGAACTTTGAGGATTTGATTGTGAATAATTTCTGGAGGATCAGAGAGGCCTTCTGCAACAATCTTGATTCTAAATGCCACTTGCGTTTGAACAGATTCTAAATTAACAGTGAGGGTTAATTTATCCTCAGTGGCTGCTCCATTACTGTGCCAATATCGAACTCTGGAGTTCAACAGTTCTAAGTAGGTAAACTTTAAAACTTGGCGCCCATTGATTCGCAGCAGGCCATGTTTGGGTTCTTCAGTAACTTGAAAAGTGACTTCCTCTGGGTTGACATTCAAATTGGACTCAATGCTCAGGTTAAAGCTGTTTATTGTGATGTGGGAACCTTGCAAGACTTCTACTCCTGTGTTGTTTACAATAAGTAAGTATGGAGGAGATGCCTGTATCTCAAACAGGCTGGTGGTGAGGAACTTGCCATCTGACACAGAGATGGAGACTCGTGCATACATGTCGCCCTTATGGTGGAACATCAGGACACCCTTAGCCAGGTCACTTTGGCTGAAGTTGTAAACAGGCTCCTCTGTCACGGAGTTCAGGATGTCCCCGTTAGAGATAGACTGCCTCTGGTAGGTCAGCAGAGAGTCATCAAAGTCCTTGTCGGGATCAGTGAAAGCGAGGTCGGCAGTGGTCAGGTACTTGATTTGGCCGACAGCAACATGGAACACCTTATTTACAGTCCGAACAGGGGGGTTGTCATTTTTCATTTTCATCATTATGTGGAAAACCCCTGTGAACTCCTGGAACTCATTCACATTTCCTTTGGACTCTTCCAGCACTGGGTTGGCTGAAAATGTGAAAGAATCTTTTTGGTTTTCAGAGTCATCATGAGTGTAGACAACTTTCCCTTCTTTGATATCAGACATTGTAAAGAATGAGACATTCTTTCTCAAGATGGCTGAAGAATTTGGATCTCTGACATTGACAGTACCGTGTGCTGGGCCTCGGATGATTGAAAACATGAATTTTTTGTACTTCTCTAGGTCTAAGGATAGGTCTTGTTTTGTTATTACAGCAGAGCTTCCTTCGGGGACATCTTTCAGTCCATTGTTGATGAACCGTGGTGCAACTTTATCGGGAGAATACTGCACAGACGCACGCACCATAAGTGGAAATCCAAAATAGGATGCTTGAAGATCTGCAAAGTCATCAGTCTGCTCAAAGCCAGGTTTCTCAAATTTATAATATACAAAGCCCTCGTTGATATCATTTTGAGTAAAAGTGTTGTCAATTTGAAGAGGTGAGAATTGCTCAAAGATGACCAGGTTTTGGACATTTTGTTTAATCAGATATAGAGATCCATACTGAGGTGGCCTTACTATCAAGTAGATTATGTTGTTCATGTTTAAATGTTCTGTATTGGACACCACCATCAGGGTTTTATTGGTGAATTTACCAAAGGACAGATGATTCAAGATCAAGTTAGAATTTTGTTCAATTGAAAGTGTGACTGTTTTTAGAGTAAGGCTGAATGTGTGGGGTGGGGTCTTAAGGTGTTTGCAAATAACATCAAATTTAAAACTGTCCTGCATTGATATAGACTTCCCTGGCTGGTGGACATACCGCAGACGACCAGAGTTGATGTGTCGTTGAGAGAAAGATGTCACAGGAACCCATTCAGAGGAGCCGTACTCCATGCGTTGCAAGGCACCGTGAACAGGGGATTGAGTGATGTTGTATCTTATTTCCAACTCTTCAAGATTTAGGTTAGTGACGGCGCTGAGATTGTGAGCCGTAATGAGACTGCTGGATCCATAGCTCAGCAAAAGCCCTGTATTGTTCTGAACCGTAAGCCTCAACTCCTCAACTTTGAAACGCAGATCAACAGCATCACTGACGTAAACACCATTAGTAACATTGACCTTGGTGTACACGCCAGTGTCTTCCTGGTGTCTAAACAAAATTTTCCCATCATAGACATCCTTTAAAGTAAAAGATGTTATGGATTTTCTGGGATCATCCGACCGCTCAAAACTGCTTGCGGCCTGACGTAAGAACACAACAGAAAAGGTTAAACTTGAAGCATCAATGTCTGTGGATTTCACATCAAGTATGGATTGCGTTATTCGAACCACAGAACCAGCACTGACAGATAACACATGACCATTTTTCAATGAAATTTCCAGCTTTTTGACACTCTGAGGGATTATTCGTACAGGCAAAACAAAATCATAACGCTCTTGAAAGGACTCTGATACCTTAACCAATGAACTCAATGCAACCTCCAAAGTTATACTATCCATCCTGCCTGGTCCACCCTGATGTCTGTAGTAAATGCTGTTCTCCTTCAGGTCTTTTAAGGTAAATGATCTCTGGTGGGCTCTTCCACGAATCTCAATGGTACCTTCTTTTGGAGGTTCCTTGACAACAAAAACAATGCTCTCATCCCTCACTGCTTCTTTGAAAAAATCCCTGTTTATCTTTATTGTGTTTGTGCCAAGGACACCAAAACTTCCTTCGTTAACTTCTAGCCTGTCGACAGATATAATCCCACTTAGCTGTTTCGTCTTGTCCTCGTGTAATGCTTGAAACTGCTCTTTCACACAGTTTTGCTCTTTGCAGTCACACCGAAAATCAGATCCTTCCAACTCTACACAGTGGCCGCTTGGAACGCAGGGATCTTTTGAGCATGGGAATTCCCAAGTGCACTCTGAACTTATGAGGTGGGATATCTGAATTTGCTGGAACCCATAGCTGCGCGAGTTTACCATGATGTTGCGAATGCATCCCAGCATGGAACCTTTCCCCGCAGAGCTGCCTTGGAGTGCGGCCAGTCCCAGCTTGATGGCGTGAGCTCTGGATTTTGCACCCACACCACCGATAAACAGATGGCTGCCAAGGTTGAGGTTGTTCTGGCTGCCAAGGTGAAACCTGGTCGTGTTTGATTCCACATCCCTCTGCAGCTCAGCTGTGGTCTGTGACACAGACACCTCTATTTTGTGCCATCTCCCATCATTGATTGGAGTTTCGAGGATGACCTCTATGATTCCACTCCCCTTGTCAATAGACAGTTTAGGTTTGCCATCTATCAATTCCACAGATATGAAATCATCAGATGCACTGCCAATGCCAGAATTAAACAAAACCAGAGCATTGGAGGAACGTGTTTTCAACTCGCATGAGAATGTTCCCCTGGTCTCCGGGCTGACCCTAAGGTGAGGAAAAGCTATGAAAGAATTTTCATAATTAAAACTAATAGGCACGTTAGATGTGATGCTGAATTCATCATCACACTGCCACGACACCTGTAACGCTTTCTGCAGTGGACTTTTCAAAGTCTTGGCTTCTTCAATGATGTTATGGCCATTGAAAAAGACATTTCTTAAACAACCTCTGAAAGGCTTTGCTTCAAGCTCTTTCTTCAAATTGCCATCACCTCCTAGAACAACACCTATATCGATGTTAAGATCGTGGTAGCTGCCTGGTGTGGTCGCCTGTCCCTGACCTGCTCCATCCACTTCTAAATACACAGAATCCTGTGTTCTGTTTAAAACCAAAGAATGCCACTGCAGATTATCGAGGCGCACCCCTCGGGCAGAGAATGCCACCGCCTCCCCGGATCCAAGGTTCACCCTGGTCTCCATAACACCTCCGTTCAGCTGGATGATCACGTAATCGGTGGTGCCAGCTGCCAGAAAAAGCAGCCCCTGAGGCAGGTTGGTACGAAACTCCAAAGAGATCCAGGTTGAACTACTGGCATCTTTCAGTGGATTGAATAAATAGCTTTCGCCATAAAAGGAAGCTGAAATTAAAAGAGAATTTACATGATAAGGTCACTTTTAAAAAATATTTAATATTAAAGTTTCATTTAAAAATGCAATGTGACTCATTTAACAAATAAATAAAAAAACAAACCAAAAAAACAACAATAAATGTTTGACTAAAAATACTCCAAACCTTATATGATTTTTTGAAAACCAACTTAATCATTTTGAATGCTCAAAAATAAAAAGGTGCAAGCTGTAAGAATGAAAGGAATTCTATCTGAAAGAATGCCTGACAGTGGGGCAAAAGCTTTTTAACATCCATTCTAAGTAAATTATTGGCCAACATGAATATTTCTTCCAATAAATACCAATCCTAAATGCTAAATAATTTTTTAAAATATGAGTATTCCCCCATAAACTTTGAACAATTCAGTTTTTAAGACCATTGACTGGGTGCTAGATTACAATAACGTTTTGTATTTATGGGTGTGTGTGTACTCATACCTATCTTTCTTTGACTATGCCCCTATGTCATCTTCACCATCAAAAACTATACAGACTGAACTATAATTCTATCTTAGGCTAATATTTTTTTCTCTCAGCAAATCTAACCTTTTATGTGTATCTAGTATCTTTTAAATTATTATAGCCATTGGCTTTCAGAATTTGGTTTGGAGGCCCTAATTTCAAATATAAAATTATAGCTAAAATTCTACAAATACTAAATTTAATATTATGTTTAAAAAATAAGATTATCATTTATGACTGCTTATTAAAGAGATTTTTTACCCCTTTAATTTCAATGTTATTAGTTGATCTTTTAATAGTTATACCTCCTTAGTGAGAGGACATTGTGAATATGAGACCCATCCAATTGGTCGGTGAGCAGAAAAAAAGTCACAGGTAAAAAAAGTCACAGAAATATTTTTCTTTATTATTCTTAGTTGTCATATCATATATCTCATATCATATATACATATATATATAAAAGTGAATGTTTGTTTGTGGATATGTTCCACATAGACATAGAACAAAATCCCAACAAGGAATAGGATCCTAAAAAGGAATGAGTAAACTGATACCCAACGGTAATGCGATCCCATCGATTAATGGGATCAAATTGGGCAAACGGGATCCCATGGTAGAAGAGGATCGCACCGGGAAACGGGATCCAACCGGGAAAAGGGATCCCAACATGATTGGGAACCCACCGGTATTGGGAACCCATTTGGATCAGGATCAACTGATATCGGGATCCCCCAAGGATTGGAATTAGATCGGGATCCCACAGGGGTCGGGATCCCATTGTGATATGGTATTCAATTTGGAAAAGGGTTAACAATAGAATTGGAATCCCAGTGGGGTCGGAATCCCAATGGTGTCCCATTTGGAAATGGGATCCCATGGGGTCGGGATCCCAATGGGAAATGGGCTCCGATTTGTAAATGGGATCCCAGTCGCGATTGGTATCCTAATTCGGTCAGTCTCCCAATGGGAAGGGGATCGTAATTGGATCAGGATACCGAAATTGAGAACCCAATGATCGAGAAACCACCGGATCGGAATACTGACGGGATCGGGATCCCACCGGAATAAGGATCTAGACAGGGATCAGGATACCAACGGGGTAGGGATGCCAATGGGATTGGGAGACAGTTCCGGGCTACGCTGGATATATTGGCTAAATTATTAGTTTTTTTCAGTGACTTTTTTTCTGTGACTTTTTTTCCAGTGAATTTTTTTTCTACAACGAATTGGTTCTCCCTTCCCCTTTGAAACGGTCCGATTCATAGCCCAGCCCATCGTGTTACTTTTGGAGGCTCCTTGCATTCAAGATGATATATAAGCTTTTTCCCACCTCAACCTTTGGGCCTTATCAGAGGCCCCTACAACAGCAGCGGCTCTATAGTTCCTAAAGTAACTCAGTGCATGGGTTTGATAGACTTCTACTGATCCTTTAAAACACCTAATTAATGCTAATTTGTTTAATTCCTTCCCATTTAAATTGTCAGCAAAACCCATTCCTACAGATATCATAATTGTGTGTGTCGTGCCCCCCCCCCCTCAACCACCACCCACCTCTTTCCCCACTTACCTCCCCTGTGAGGCAATAATAAGGATCTGCTTGTTTTTTTTTCTTTCAGGCGTTCACACAGGGCCACGATAACAAGTTCTAGATTTTTAGCGTCAGTCCCGGAGCCTATATCTAAACACTAACACAATTATATATATACGTATGCCTATATCCCTAAAGTGAGCTGTGCATTCAATCATCAGTTAACATTTCTACTGGATTCTTTAATCCACTACACTCTTTTAAAAAAATAATTTAAAAAAACAAACAAACAAAAAAACGTATTTACATCCAAATGAAGAGAACCCATCTTGTAAAAAATATTACGTGAACACCACAGAGTTAATTTTGTAACTTTTACTAGGGTTATACAGACTTCGACACTTCAGGACTTGAAACTTTTGTGAATAAAAAATACATTGATACATTGCAAACGACATCACAAAAATCTTTAGGGTTTTATTTATTTTTTTTTTCAGGGGGGGGGGGCGTTTGGGTCCTCTTGGCTTTGCTTACATGGTCGCGTGTGTTTTGCTTGTATCTTGTTTGTTTTGTGGGGAAAAAAAAAACGGGGAGAGGGGTGATATTTGGCCCTTGAGATGGAATACTTGAGGGGACTCGAAATTAAAATATAAAACTTTAAAAAATCCACATGACGTTTTGCACCCAAGCAAACTCATCAAATGTTTTATTAACCACGACCTGTCAATTTGAGAATCACGGTTAAAATTAAAATCAAAACAAAAAAATCTAATCAAATTGCTAGGTTGAGGCCCGGTGGAAAAACTGTGGAAAAACTCAACGTACACAAGCACCCGCCAGCAGGTTTGTTTTCTATGCATGTATTTTTTATTTTTTTTGTTGTACCCCCATTTATTATCTTCGCTCCGTTCCGCCCTACTCGGGATGTAACAGCCAGTAGGAGCAGGCATAAGGTTTACCCTCACCCCAGAAAGATAAGCCTCGGCAGGCAGTCAGATAAAAGGGGACCAAAAGGGGGAGTGGGGTAGGGGGTAGGAGAGGGGTGTTCACAAACAACGAAAATCGTTGAGGGGATGCTATGCGTGTGTGGTTCGGGAGTGTATGTGGGGGGGGGGGGGGGGGGCGGAGGGCGGAGGGAGATTCTCCGATATCTCAGCGAACGAAAAAAAAAAAGTTATAAACAGAAATGATACAGTGAATGATGATTTCACCTGCTCCACAGAACTGTTTAACATGATGGCATCTAGCAGCAGTGAGTCTGAGTGCTAGGCACATCACACATGCTTGATGGGATGGGTATGGCGTTGGCAAGCCTGTCTTACTTACCCCCACCCCCATTCAACTCTGATTCATTCCCTTGGCAGTTGGAAGGCCAGAGACACACTTTCAACGGATGCATGTGCAATTTGTATAGTATTATAGTAAGCATGTGTATGTGTGTGGGGGGAGGGGGTACTTGAAGACATCTCCATTTTCGACCGACACCTTTGAACCTAGTACTGTTTTAATTAAGAATTGCGGTTAACAGTATAATCTGTTATAGAGACGATGGATTTTGCCTACGAGTCCAAGCCCGTGGCGGATTCAAATGCGAGTGCCAGAGGAGTCGTAGTGGGTGTGCCCGCATATATACACTGATAGCTGACCTCACAGCCAGCAGCTACAGATTTGTTTAAATAGGTATCGGCCACTCGGTGGCTAACACTGTAACAGTGCACCCCACGGCACAACTATATCAGTATCATTCATCTGAATCTACCACACCTGTGATATCAGCCAGGATGCAGTGGTGTAGGAAGGGGCGGTCCGAACTGGGTGACACTTCGTCTCTATATTATATTGAGGGGGCAGAAAAGGTCTTGGCCCACCCCGTCACCCTGGATACGCCACTGTCAGTATGTGTGGTGCTATTTGCGTGAGCGTGTGGATGCTTGTGTGCGGGCGTGGCTAAATATGTGAGCTACATTTGTGTGCGTGGCTACATGTAGAGCTGCATGCGGCCGTGTGGTGGCATGGTTTAATTTTAAAATGGGACTCCATGCGTGTGGATTATAATACATGCGTGTGGGCGTGGCTACACGTGTGAGGGCTGTGTTGTACTTCAGTAGAGTTAACGTCGAGCTCTAACTTCGTCTAACACAAGGATTTTAACTACCGGGCTATTACTTTTCTGTACCACAGTGGTCCAACTCCGAGACTGCGGAAAATACTTCGTTGTGCCATAGGCTTAAAACTCTGGTTGTGTGACTCCCACAAGCGGTATCCCCCTTAAACATATATATATATATATATATATGTATATATATATACCAGCGTGCGTAACTGTGTGTAATCTTCACAGTGGCATAACGATAATTTTGTTATGAACGATCCGCCAAGATGGGTTGGGGGCTATAAGCCACCTCCACCATCATCATCTAGATCCAGTAGCCCTTTTGGGGTGTAACCTTCGGCCTGAAGGATGATGCCACCAACACTGAGGTCAACTCAACTTATTTTAAATTTAATACTGCATGCCATGGTCCCCGGCCATTTTTATACAATTTATATCTCCTACATACTGTCACTTCTTCATTTACTGAATATGCGAACACTGAACACGCGTGTTAAGCTTCAGCTTACTGTGTACACTTACGACTTTTTAGTTTAAGGAAATTAATATTATTTTTTTGTTTGTTTTAAAAACATGCCAAAAACAAAACATGCCAGACTACACGTCTTATCAAATGTCGACAGTGGTGACACGTACACCACTCGGGGCCCGGAGAAATAATAAAGACTCCCACGAGCGGTAACCTTGTAAGGGCAACGGTCAGCTCAAAGATATCAGATGTTAATTAGTGGGTCCTCGAGGCCAGGCAACCACACGCAAAGTGAAGCTAGGTTTTATACTCTAACGAAAGACGTTAAGTGGTTAAGTCGTATTGAAGCTGTTACAAGCTCTCGAAGGAAAGAAAAATATACACTATATTTTATATGCAGGGCTGAATTTACACATTAATGTGCCCTAGGCAAAAGCTCACACAGACACACTCCCCCCTCTCCCATCTCCTGCTATCCCACCGCATATACACCGTATGTGTATAATATATATATATTAGAAGGAGAGAGAGAGAGAGATGAGAGGAGGAGAAGAGAAAGAAGAAGAGAGAAGAAAGAACCACAGAAAAATGGAGGGTCTCGTGGCAGACCTCAACCCCGATGGAAAATCAATATGTAGGCTACACTGAAAGGCGAGTGTTGCAAAGGAGGTTGTGGTAAAACACAAACTCAAGTGAAAGATTGTGTAACACTTCCCGCAGAGCTGAGACTGCAGATACAAAGTTACGGCCAAACTCCGTGTCCCGTGAAACTGCATGCCATGTACCTCTTTTGTCACAAACAATGAAATTTGATCTATATAAATATATTTTTTTTTTGGAGCGAGGAGTGGGGGTTGCTCACCCGAATATGAAACGTCCGCACTTTTGTATTTCGAATCTAAGATATGGAGGTAAACCCCAATGGCATTTAACCATAGTCCCATCATTAACACGACTCCCATTGTATTAAGGCTTATCAAAAGATCGTCCCATGAATAAATAAAACCTTACACGTCACCTTTAGGAAAGCCTATTTATAGATTGAGAGCATTCCAAACATACCAATTTAAGCTTTATTACAATGTTGCTACAAAATTGCAAAGTGTCACATTGAGACAGCTAAGGTTAAAAAGGGGATTTAAAAAAAAAATTGGGATGTGGGGGACAGCATAAAAACGCTGATGACATGAACATACGGAATGCATATTAATTTTGCACCAAATTACATAAGACTTATACATTACATAATTTTGAACAACAAAAACGTGTTATATGTTAGTTTTTTTTTAAATAATTACTCTGGCATTTCGTAAAAGATACTTTTTTTTTTTAAATTAAAAGAAATGACTAAATGTACGGGTAATTGAAACATTCTTTGTTAAAAATAATGTATTTTAAACCTGGCACTTGACAACAAGTAGTGTTCAAATTATAAATTTGTGAAATTTACTTGCAGTTAACATCTAAAGCATTTTCTTTTTTTTTCTCCAAATAATGTATTCTTGTAAGTAAATAAATGTGGCACATTTCTTTTGCTGCCCACGGATACTACTTCTAAGCTAAGTGCTATTTTTTAAATAATGTATTCTTGTAAGTAAATAAATGTGGCACATTTCTTTTGCTGCCCACGGATACTACTTCTAAGCTAAGTGCTATTTTTTTTTTTTTTTTTATACCGGTTTTTCTGTTGTTTTGTTCGCTGAAGAAGGCTTTCTGCCGACACGTTCGTTGTTTTGTTGCGTTCCTTTTTCAGTTTTAACCCTACTTTGTTTTACTCATTTTATATTGTGCTAACCTGATTGCAGTCTCTCCCCTTATTACCCTAATTGAAGGTCAGAAGTTAAATGTATTTAAGAACTGTAATATGCATATACTTAGAATCGCCCAATGGTATCAATGGAAAGCTTAATCCTCAGAATCTATAATAATATAGCTTCTTGTCCCTTATGAAATTTACCAAACACTTCAATCTGCGTTGAATCATGGTCAAAACAGTGTTTTTTCTGACCTAATTACCTCATTACCTAGTTACCTCATTTCTGAGACATCAGCCTTGGATTTTTAATGAGGCAAGAATTTGGATTGGTTACATGTGTGGAAAGTTTAAGTGTGATCACTTATCCTTTTATGAAATTTGGTTAGACTGAGCAAGTTGGACTATGTAAATATGCAATTTTTCAATTTGGTGTCACAACCCTGAGATGGTGTCACCTGGTGCAGTCCGCACCCCACTAGCCACGCCACAGCTGGTATTTTATTACATTTTGAAAAAAAAACAAAAAAAAACAAACTATGTGGTCAGCTTAGACTTAGTTTAATATAGAGGATGATTATAGTTGTGGGTAAAGCTATGAATAGTATGAATTTGTTAGATGAGACTGCACATGACATATACACCTATGTAACCCTTACAATACTCAAAATAAAAATGTCTTCATTAACAAAAGAAAAAGTTGTATTTGGGTATTTACTCCAATATGATGACACAATATTCAATTATGTGACCTATAAAACATCATATATAGAAAAATCAAGGCTTCAAAGTTGGAGTCTTCAAGTAAGGGGCCATTACAATCTTCGTCTTAATGCACAGCCATCACATAACTTTTGGAGCCCCTACCGCCTTTCGGTTTTGTTGCCCCTGCATTCACACTTAACCTCACAACTTTGGCCTCCTGCAGCCGAAAGTGTTGCAGGGCACATGCGACTTCTATGCTTAAATAAAGAGCCTTTTAAGTGTCTTCCTTTTGGTAGAAAAAATATTTTATAATATTTGAAAAAGTTTTTCCAGGGCCATTTACATGTCATCTATTGATAGACAATATATTTCATAGCAATAACTGAAAACATGTACCGGTGCTGTAAAGAATAACATCTGAAGTTCTAGGTTTTCATCAAATTTAATTATTAAAAGCTACATTAAGTCATTTGGCATTTTCATGCAAACATTAGACTCTCTAGAGTAGTGCTTATATCTATTAAACTTTTAAAAGTATTTAAAAAAATGGCTACTTACCCTCGTGTAGCAGTTTACAACTTGAATGTTCAAGAAAACTTAATAATAGAAATATCAGCCACCTAATCCATGAAACTTTTTGGGCTATTGCTGTGTTCAACATTGTTGATTTAAAGGCAGTGTATTAGTGGCATTTATAAAGCAAATGAATGTATGACTATTTTAGATAAAATGAATTTTATCTAAATTTCTTGCAGCAATGATGAAACTTTAAAGAAGCCAAACATAATTTTTTTATCGACAAGTGTAGAAGGAACAACAACAATTTGAAGTTGCTTGTCTGACGCCGTAGACAGTTCTGATATTCGTGTTTAGATAATCATCTATCTAATATTTACAGTGGTACCAGAGCTAAACCAGTCTCTTCTTGGTGCTTTTGGCAGTTTCCACTCAGATAATAAATCAGTATAGTGTCATACATCAGGTCTGCAAAAGAACATTATATATTAATGATTAGTTTGGCTTGAATTCTCATTTAACATACATTAGACAATCACTATAGAATAGAGTATAATATAGAGAGAGCTAAAAATGTAAGTTTTCAGTATTTATTATAAAACCCATATTCATACTGATATCAGAAATCAACCTTGAACCACCCATCTCCATTTTTTATTTTTTTTTTATATAAGTACATTGATGTGATAAATGGATCAAGAATCTGGTAAATAAAATTAATAAGGCTTGCACCATAATTAACAGTAGGTAGGCTTAGTCAAGGAGGCCTCAAGTGGAAGTTAGATATGGCATAAGTCCTTTTGACTACTAAAACTACTGTATGTTTTTTTCTCAAAATATTTATTGATAGCAAGCGGCCATTTAGACCAGTACTAAAATGCTTCTATAAAACACATGATCAATTATGGCTCATTCATTAGTTGATATGATCCCACCCAAGGCCCAAGGGGCAACCTTTAAATTACAGTAACTTATAAGCTATAAAATACATTTTATAGACCTACTTTTAAGTCTATAGTTTTGTTTTTCTACTGCATTTGCCTATTATTAGTAAAAAATTATAGAATAATTTTGTATTTTCATTCATTATGTCAAATGTGTCTGTGAGGGCTATCACTATCATATTTAAATTACTATACTGTCTATACTACATATATCATATGTAATTTATAGCCTACTAAATAATAATAATAGCATTGTATAGCCTACTAAAACTAATCTACTGCATGAGTAGCTTCAGTAAAGTAAAATGAGTAAGGGAGACTTAAACTTAATTCTAACTTACTGTATTTTACTGACTATAAGACACAACGGACTATAAGACGTACCTTAATTTTTAATCAATTTTTTTAAAAATTAACATTATTACCATTTTTATATTAATTTCGAGTATAGGACGCACCTGAATTGTGGAGGCAATTTTTAAAAGAAAAATGCATCTTATTACTCTTATAATAGTATAGTCCGTAAAATATGGTGTTACATGATGAGATTGATACAACGGAGTTACATTTTCATTTCCATATTGAACCCAGATTTAACTTAAGGGGGGCCTGACTTATTTATTTAATGCATAGTATTATAGTATAGGCTATAGGTCTATGCCTATGCCCATTAGTCATAAACTTTTAACACAACATTTACTGTTGTCAGTTGAGTTGTAACTGTAACAAACACATTGACACATCCGTGACATAATATAAGTATAAGTATTATAATATAACTAATAATAACTATAACGTTTTTATTATCAATCCATGACCAGGAGATGGCCCGGTGATTTCTTTTAAATTTTACGAAAAGAAAAAAAAAAGTTGATGGCATGATGTTGATTTTCTTACTGTCATGCTATAAGTTATAGTAGTGTTATGTTATATAGCCTATAATATATATGTAATATATATAATATAGTCAATAATAATTAATAATAGTCTAAAATGATTGTCTACTTTTTAAGCAAAGCTCAAGCAACATTCCAGCCACAAACACTCCAAAGTCAAAGAGTTAAGAATCAATTTGAAAAAGGAAATAAAGGTATAAAAACAAAATAATTACGCTGATGCAAAGTCATCAATGAGCACATTCATATGTACCAGGCATTTATGATAAAGAGTTTTGACATTTTTATCTGATAACTGACTTATTAAGAATTTGTTCCGCAAAACCTAATCGACTGCTAGACTGCTGGCACTAAATAGGCCAGGAAGGAGAAAAAACGTACATCAAATTATAACTAGTCATTCAATATTATACGATTTTTTAATAGTGTATTTCCTCTTTGTTAAATAAATATAGTTATGATATTGATCACCCAAACTGTTTCATTGTTAAATGCAACAACTAGTTGTGGATACATAATTAAAGTTAGATTACATCTTATAATGGATTCATCATCCATAAGAGTGTAAAATGTATTATTTTGAAGATGTAAAAAAAAATTACTTGAATTTTATAGTAATATAAAAAAAAATCGAAAAATGTATAGCTTTTACAAAAAAAAAAATTAAATTTAAATTAGATTTTCAATGACACTATTGTAAGAATAATAAATGTTAAAAATCGAACGTTTTAAATTCGCCCAAACGGCAATTGGGCAATATATTCTCTCAAAGGTGTGTCACTCAACAGACGCTACGTTGTCATTGTTAACCACAACATCTTTGTACCTAAACCAAACAAATAAAATACTTTGAGCAGTTTTATGAATGGTGCATCCAGGTTATAAACGTGGTTATTTAAAATAGATGACCATCTGACTAACACAGTGCTGCCATTGGCGCCTCGTGCGTATTTACTCAGCTGTCAGTGATTTTGGTGCAAAGTATAACAATAGCATTTGATTTAGCTCCCCAATTTGGCGCCTGCAAGACCAATGCCTGAATTTAAACCCCCCCCCCCCCAAGTATGGATATAATTATATCTTAATACTTTTACTTTTTGCATGACAAATTACGGTATTGGTAACCTCTGAGGGTGAAGGCCTTTAAACCCACTCTCATGGCTCTGGTCACTGGGTTAACCAGTACTAAATTGACTAAATGTTATTGGCTTGAATATTAACCTAATTTCATTAATTTGGCATATCCACCACGGGTGGTACCCTATAGCCTAGTATATCCCATGCGTTCTTAACCTTTTTGTAGCGCCACACCCCTCTTGATGGCAAAACATTTCTCTTAGGGGTCGTTCGCAAATTACGTCACGCAAAAAATTACCTTTTCAGATCCTCCTCCCCCTGTCACAAAGTGTCACACATTCTTTAACCCCACCCCACTAGTGTCACGTCACACCTAAAAAAATTCTAAACTAAATAAAAAATACATAAATTTTCATTACTCAGCATAGATTTAATTTTATTCTTTAACATTTTCCCGTAATGGATTAAGATGTAGTATTATTAGACAACTGTGACGTAAAATGCAAAACAACGAAGTCCTCCCTAAAAGCGGAACCGAATGTAAAATGGCCACAACAGTTTTTCCGTCATTTTTTCGATATGCGCAGAAGGTTCGCGCGACTGAGTTTCACGGTACTCATAGTCTAATACCTCAGGCAATTTCAACCTCAAATTATTTTTTTTAAAAATTAATTGAATAGAGATTTTTCAAATTTAGAAAATTTTAGATTTAAAAAAATAATTTAGAATTGTTACGTCACAAATTTTTGACCACCCCTCCCCCCCCTGTCATAAAGTGGCACAAATTCTCGACTCCCCCCTCCCACCTGAGCGTGACGTAATTTGCGAACGACGACTTACCCCTCTCGATTAAAAAGAATATTTCGCACAGCCCAACCCCAACAATAAATATGTGTAGAAATAAAAGTTAACCTAATTTTCTAGGCCTTCCCCACCCAAAACTGACTCTCGCACCACCAGAGGGTGCGGGCACCCCTGGTCTATCACCTATACAGGTGACTGTAGTGCATACAAAAAGCTTAATATGTGCCTTTTCATTTGTTTTAGTTATCGAAGAGTGGGAGAATTTTTAACAAAAAGACGGTAACTTAAAACTAAAGATGTGAGGACATCGTGTATTAAAATTTAAACTCATCTAAGTTTCTTAAAAAAGTAACCCAAAAATGTTGAGGACGAATCACATTTAGTTAGAAATATTATCTTCTTCTATTTCTTTAAAAAAAAAAAAAAAAGTAGTGAATATACTTTTTAATCAGCTAATGTTATTCATATTATTAATTATTATACTTAGCCTTAGCCCACACGTTACGTAAGGGGCTCTATTATGAGGCTAATTAATTAAAATATTTAAATATGATGAATAAAATAAAACCGTTTTATCCATCTTAAATTTTGTTTGTAATTAAAATAAATTTTTATGATACTGAATAATATTAATGGGAAATGAATGAAAATGGAGGTTGAGTTCAGTTACTTTTAGAAGTGTCCCAAACGTTTTACCATACTATTTGCACACGGCATAAACGGAAGTTCACCGGTCTTTATCTTTACAATTTTCCATGGCCGCAACCAGCATTTTACTTTAAGTGTTTTAAAGTGACCTTTATTCAACGGCACTTTCTAGATAATTTCAAATATTGTCTAGTAAAAACAAAGGTATCAATTATTAATAATCGTTTATTGCCTATAAGTGCACTTTTTACTTCATAGTTTAAATCTTAGACCTAAGCCTAATTGCAATATCATTTTGATTTTGTTTGTTTGACTGAAAGAAAACAGTCCAGGCCATGATGCCCAACGATGGGTTTCTTTCTTTGGGACAGAACCACTTTCGCTCTTCTCTGTCTGCTTGTGCCTGTACTGTAGATTTAAGTAACTGACTCTTGAATGGTGGTATGATATTCTTCTGGTACCGTGTCAGTAGGTTCTAGCCACTGTAGGCCAAATCATTTAATTAAATGATTTGAGGCCAAATCATTTAATTAATGATTTGGCTGGGCCACTAAACTATCAAAGCAAAACATCTCCAGCCCCCTCCACATGGATGGGACTCGTTAGCCTTGGAGCCTTGGAAGGCAACTCATCAAAGAAAAGAAGGCAAACTCTGAATTCAAACCAGAAGGATCAATAAACGAAGTGATTATACGCAGTCGACTGCGTATAACCCTACGCCTACGCAGTCGACTGCGTATAACACTGAGAATTATACGCAGTCGGCTAGTCACGTGAGGTCTATATACTTCCTGTGTTACAGTATCGATCGATAAAGGTACCTCGTTATCAGGGTGATTGGGTGGTCAAATGGTATAAACTGAGCAAACCTCACGTTGGTTGTCTAGGGTTCAATTTCACCAAAGGCCAGTCAAGAATGTATAATACGTGTTAGTTGTTATGGTTGTTCTCGAGAATACGCTTATTCAAACTTATTGTTTTGGCTAAAAAATGTTAAAACATGATAAGAATTAACTTGACCAAAGTAATGTTAATAATGTTATTCTGATAATTATAATTATCATAATATATGTGTGTGTTGTTAATATATGTTTTGTGTTGTTAACTAATTATGTGGCAGATAAAAACATGTTTCTCTGGTACAGTAAGTATAATCAGGGGTGGAGAGTAGCAGAAAAAAATAGCTGTAGGGGCAGGGGGTTCTCTGGAGGAGTTACTGTAAGTAATACTTTCACACAGTTATAGTTTTGCATGAAAGCTGAAAACTGTTACATTTAGGTCACCAAAAAAAAAAAAATCATAAGTTATATAATTTTTTTAAAATAAATAGAATGTATTTCCTGAATTAGTCAGTAAAGCCAACCACATAGTCATAGCAAAATATAAAAATCTAATCAATCAGAATACAGAACTAGACTTAAACCATGGAAATGCCTTAAGGCATAATCATCTTCTTAGTCTCAGACTCTAAGAAATTTAGACTTTGACTTAAACATATAATTATAATTTATAAGATACAAGCAATAATACTAATAATAGCATTAATACTATTACTATCATTCAATATTAATTAAAATTAATTCAATTAAAATTTTACGTTAAACACATTAAAAGTTATAGTTCAAATCAACCCATAATGCAGCTAATTACGCATAATACTTTTTTTGAAACTGCCAAACTAGCGGTAATAAACCTTATTTGGCTAAATTCCCAGCCGACTGCGTATAACCCTGAGCGTAATACGCAGTCGGCTGGGAATAACTCTCAGGGTTATGCGCAGCCGACTGCGTATAACACTTCCCATCAATGAATTGATCGTGGACCCTCAAAATATAGAAAAAGTCCTCTATTATTGTAGCTGCATTATTTCTATTTATTAGGCCTAACCAATAAAAAATTAAAACAACTTGGCTTGTTTTGAGTTAGCTGTAAGACAGACGATATGTTCCACGCTATTTAGGTCATGGAGGTTCCCCCAGGTCCATTTCCGTCTTACAGCGCCATCTACAGTGCCATACTAAAAAGATTTCGATGTTTGTATTTACATAATGCAATTTATTGTTTTCTTATCTTATATTTTTTGTTAATTGGGGAGGGGTCACCCATTCCCCCTCCCCAGAGAATTTCTGTTTCTTATTTTGGTATTTAAAGCGAGGGGAAGGGTTTGGGGAGACTCTCCCCTCCCCAGTTCCTAGAAGATCATTCCAAATGCAATTTAAGTTAAAAGCAGTAGTCTTCCTTTTGTTACCTAAGTTTCAACATACGGGTATTTTGATTTCAATTAATCAAAATACAGCAATTTTGGTGGGCGTCTTTTTTTTCCACCGGTCTTGGGGTATCAGCAAGGATGTGTTTCTTTTCTTTTGAAACGTGTAAGTTGATTTTTAATACACATTAATGAAAAATTTTATTTCAATATACTTCGTATTAACCGTATCGTTTATGACACGAGTAATGTTGAATAAAGAACAGGAATGTTATAACACTAACAAGCATCATTCGGGTCCTTCAAAGAATAGATCTATTCACCCTAAATCCAGTGTTGGGATTCCCCAATGTGACGTCACTGCGCTTAGGGTGAGAAAACTCTTGGCAAAACCCACACCATTAACTCAAAATTTACCAAAGACCTTTATTGAACTTGTAGGCTAATTATTATTATGTTCATGTCTATTTTTAGTCCAATATTTATTAATATAATTTAATATACATTTTTTATGTTATATTTTCTAATTAATTAATTACCATGACCATAGCCTACATATTCATCATAATTTTGGTTTTATAGCCTAATTCAACTAATTAAATTAGGCCTAGTAATAGTAATACTACAAGTAATGGTAATTGTTAGTTGGCCTACTTAGCCTACTAACAATCAGGGTCTTTCAAAAAGAGAAAGGAAGGCAAGGTTAAAAATTCTTAATTTTTTTAACGCCAACTATTGCTATGTACTAATAATATATTTGTTGGGAAGAGATTGTCTGAATTCAGGATACGGCTCAGGCTCATCTCTTGATTGCTAAAGCCCTTATGCCAACCTATAGTATAGTCATAGTTGTAGCCAAGGCCTTGCTGTTTAACTCAATAATACATTATCTCCTTTTGAGCCTTTTGCCTTGATGAATAATAGATCTGATAAGACCTTGCTTGGAGTTTTATGTAAGCTAATGCCTAAGTTATTTGTAATTCTCTTCTTTTACTTGTGTTTGGCATTATGACAACATTATAAGTTTCGAAGTGTCTGCATGTCCGGCGATCAGATGAATAAATTCTCGAGATATTCGTCTGGCGACCAAGAGCGCAATAACAAAATTGTGAGAGATATTTGTCTATCAGCCTTGTCACGTGACCGCTAATAGTCTATCAGAATCAGAAAAATGGCGTCGGAAATGCATGTGGGCCATGCCTGTACTTCATTTCAACAATTAGGGGGAGGGGCGGGAGAGCGATTGGATTCTAGAAGAAAGAAATACTGAGAGCGAGATAAGGATAAAAATGATAGTGAGGGTGATAAATAATTAAAGCGCGGGGAGGTCATAGTACATAAAGAAATGGAGATCTTAATGTAGGGCCAATACAGTGTGCTGCTGAGGTAGCCTACTTCTCACGCAATATTAATAGCCTAAATAAAACTTTTTTGACGTAGGTGTATTGAAAGTCATCTGGCAGCTATTGGTCTTATTTTGTTTGCTCATATTTTAAATTTAGGCTACTAGGTAGAGCTTTACAAGATATTTAAACCAAGATAGCAGACTTTTTTTTTGTTGAAGAGTCTGATTCAAATGGACTAGTATATAGGCCTACTAGTATTCTAATAGTTTTCATTAAAAGTCAAAAGCTTATGATACACTTTATGTATCTCATATTATCATATTCAGTATTTATTTATTATCTGGTGATTGGCTAACTAATATATATATATAAATATACATGTATATACAATATTGGAATATCATACAATGCAACTATTTTGCCTTCAACCTCTTGTCACATGACGTGTCTGCGGAAATAATAACACCTACGAGTTGTCAGGCGGTCACGTGACAGGCCCGCTGGAAGAATATCTTTTGCACTAGTTATCTGGTGGCCGGACGTGTAGACACTGCCTATAAGTTTAGCGATGGCAAATGACCTTGCGCTTCTTGTTCAGGGTGAACAAAGTCAATGCAAGGGTGAACAAAGTCAATGCAACACACAAAATTAATAACTACCTAACAAAGGCCATTGTTTTTATCTTGCATTAATTCTGTGCAAATTGTCTCCTTCAAAATAAATTTTAACTATTGCATCACTACCCAAATTCTTAATTTCTTGTTCAGACCAGTAGTGTTAAGTATAACAAAACATTTTGGGGATTCCAGTAGTGTTAAGTATAACAAAACATTTTGGGGATTCTTCATTTTACCTGACCACCATTGGTGCCTTTAGTATTGCGTATTTATACTGGATACAATGTAAATTAACTAATTTAATACACAATTGCTGAAATTTAAATTTTTCCTTTAAATTAGTATCCAGGATGGCTCACTTTGTTTACCCTACTGCCAATCCAATGGCCCAGGTAGCCCCTCCTGCTCAAGGTTATGCTTCTGCACAGGGTGCCTATGTTGCCGCCCCACAAGCAGCTTATGCTGCCACAGCTGCTCCGCAAAGAAGTCAAACGTATGAGAGCTATCCAGCTGCAGCTGCATCAGCTGCTGTACACCCTTCCACCCAGTATGCATACTCCAGGGCTCAAGTTGCTGTTACGGTTAGTATTTCACATTTGCCAGATAATTTGATATGTATTTCTTTTTCTCTTTTTTTTTTTTATCATAGAGTCAAGTTTCAAAGCTTTATTTTAATCTTTCAATTTCTGAATTAAATTTTAGTTATGCCACTTGAACATTTTAAGATATTTTGAAGTAGCATGATTTAAAAAAATAAATAAATGCCTTTATTAAAAAAGTAAACGGAATAAAAACCCATTTTGTGACTAATTAATGAATTGCTTCATTGGATTTACCCCCTTTATATTCACAGTTCATATTAATCTGTTTAAATTTTTAATGATTTTGGGTCATATGCTTCATGCAACAATACAGATTAGTCAAATCAGATGTATTACTTTTACATTTCATTAATTAATTGAACACTTTATTTTGAATGTGTTAATTTAGCTAAATTTTTCTGTTTTAGAGCGCCTTTTCCCTGCAGCCAACTGTTACTTATGACCAGTCAAAAGCTTATTATCAACCTGCAGCGGCCACTACATATACAGCAGCTGCAGACCCACAGTTCCAAGCAGGTAAGACTATTCCATTACAAAATATTTTCTTAATTGATTTTGAATCAAGAGCATATGATTTATTATTTTTTAAAAATAATTTTCAAAACAACTTTGAAATATTAAGCTTAATTCAGCTTAACTAATTCCCACCAGCTTTCTCTCACTCACTTATTTATTCTGTAATGCTTTAAAAATGGAAATTACTTAAATTTTCAATTGAACTATATTTAATTTCCTAAATATTAATTAATTTCAACAAGCTAAACATTAATAAATACATTTAAAAAGTACAAAGCTTATCATTATCAAAGCATAATATTGTGTCAGGGCGGCGGATTTAGTTGAATCCCTAACTGACGCAACTTGTGCGAGTTTGTTAATTTGTTGTACCATTTAAAAATTTATTTTGTAATGTTCTATTCTTAAAAGTTTCTTAGTTACATTTATTTTATGTTTATACTACTTGTTTCAACTAATTTTTTTTGCCACCTTAATTTACTGCTCGTGGTACTTTAAGTTGGCCTTTCTTTAACAACAGCAAAGCCAGCTTTCAGCACAGGAGCAACATTTGCTAATGCACAGAGACAGGCTACGGTGGCCCCCAAAGCTCAAGCAATACCAGTTTCTTCCACTGGTACCTCTTATGTGTACTCATCGACCACTCCAACAGTTACAACATACTCCACCACAGGCTATACAACCACAACTACGCCTCAAACCAGCATTTCAAGTATGTATTTTTTAATCTTCAAACTATGGCAGTGTAATTTTTATTTCTCAGTGCATGGAGATTAATTTCATGTAACATGAAGATGATTTCTCCTCCATAGGCTATGATGCAGCACTTTACTCTGCTGCAAGTAATTATTATAGTCAGCAGCAACAAGGAAAAACTGGTACACCTTCATGGATGGTTAAAAAAGCAACAACCGGAAATCAGTTTAAACCTAAACCCAAAGGACCCCCTAAAGCTCCTCAACTGCACTATTGTGATGTTTGTAAGATAAGCTGTGCTGGGCCCCAGGTAATGTTTTTTAAAGTTCAGACATTCTTTAATTTGTAAATATTTTCTTACTTTCAATAAAATATGCATAATATTCAGAAAGATTTTTTTATTAGAAAAGTTATTACTATTTTACCACTAGAGGTTTTGTAATACCCTTAAGGTATTAAAAGTGTATCTTTAACTTCTCATTGATTGGTTGCACCACAAATTGAAAAATAAGTAGATAAATAAATGGATCTGTTTCATAAAAAATATATGTTATGTAAAATATCTTATGTAAAAACTCTCAGACATATAGAGAACATTTAGAGGGTCAAAAGCACAAAAAGAAGGAAGCTGCACTGAAGGCAAGCCAGCCCTCTGGCAGACAGTCTCATAATCAAATGAGGTGTGAGCTGTGTGATGTCACATGCACAGGTCATGATGCATATGCTGCTCATATTCGTGGTGCTAAACATCAAAAGGTAAGTTTTTGTATTTGTCATCTTTAAAAGAAAAAATTAAATAAAAATGTCTTGTGCCTTGGAAACTCGTATCGATCCTGTAGCAAGTAATAGAAAATGTATGAGGTTATTTTTCAACCAAATTGTACACAAATTCAAGTAGGAGTCCAATTAATTTCTTCTCACTTGTGCAAAGTTAAGACAATTAATTTCATCTCTGCCTATTTGAACTCATTTATTTATTCATTCATGGACAATGAAGTTAATTTAATACCTTTCTGATCTGCTACACGCTATAACACCGCACATATTTTAACCACTCTCTTACTTGGCACTTGTTTTGTTAATCAGTAAAAATTTAAAGCTTTCAAATCTAAGTGACTACAATGGAGAAATTAAACTTTTTTAACAACAAATTAAAACTGAAAACTTTTAAAATTTGAGATCTTTTTAAATCATATTTTAGGTTGTAAAATTGCACACAAAGTTGGGCAAGCCCATACCGTCTACTGATCCTGTTGTAGCTACAACAAATAAGACTGCAGCTAAACCTGCATCTAGTAAATCTGTAGTTGTTCCATCCTCAACTGCAGCAAAGAAAGTTGTTGCTACACCTAAGATAAATTTTGTTGGTGAGTAAAACAAGGGATAAAAAATAGTTTCAATTTGAAATAGTTGTCAATGATTTTTACAAAAAAAATTATAATAAAAATTGGAATTTGTTTATATTACTCTTTAATAATTTTGATGCAATATTTAATCATTTCACTTTTTTCGTGTGTGATTATGTTAACAGAAGATTTTATATAATACATTGCCAATAATTAAATTGTCCTGCAAACTTTAGGAGGCACACAGCTCAAAACATTGGCAGGGAAAGCTGAAGAAGTGAAGGCTGCAGCTGCTGTTGTGGCAGCCACTGTACCAAGCTCAGGAGATACAACAACATCAATGTCAGATGATGATGGTTAGATATTTTTGTGCTACTTGCTAGGTATACTTTATAGGTACAATTTCATTTAATTAATTAAACACTGAAGTTAGCGTTGTTTAAATTTAACATTTAAATTAATTTTTAAAATTTTTTTACCTTAGGTGATGATAACTCTGCTTCAGATAAAGATGTGACCCCTGTTGGTAAGATACATGTTAGCTATTTGTTTTACCAGTCCAAAGAGAGGAGCAGGTGGGGGGGGGATATTTAAAAAAAAAAATTATGTGTTCAAACCTAGTATTAATGTTCTTGGCCCATCTTCACAATCCTGTTTTTTTTTCCTTGCTACCATTTTTCTAATTTTTTGAATAAATTGACTATAACACACACACACCCTTCTTTTAAAAAATAAAATAATACTTTTTTCTTTGTTCTATGTCATCTTTTAGAAAATTGTTTTTCACTGTTTAACTGCACACACAACAGTTGGGCTTTAAAATAGCTAAAGAGAATTAATTTCTAAAATTATGTTCAACTATCACGTTAATGCTAAAAAAATTTGAGGCATTATGGCAAATGTTAAGGTGTAATTTTAATGTGTCACATAAGATATTAAACACCCTTTTTTAATTTAATTACCAATGAATTTATAAATGCTTTGTTCATTAGTCACAACCTTGAGTATTGTCTCTTGATACACTATTCAGCATACTATTTAAGGCCTTCAGATGTTTGGGTGATTTTTTTCCTAGAACATATCAATAATGTTGAAGATATTTCTAGCTTGGAAGTGCTTCAATAATTTTGACATTCATTATATCATTTCCTAACAAAATCTTAAAGGACATGAATACATCGAAGAGATAAAAAATGATGCCGGTAAAACGTTTAGTTTCAACTGCAAGCTTTGTGACTGTAAATTCAATGATCCCAATGCAAAAGAAATGCATCTGAAAGGCAGGCGACATCGGCTGCAATATAAGGTATGTTAGACTTGTTTGCTCTTACGATTTAGGGTCAATATTTTACAATTTTAGCATTTCAAGGGTGAACAGATCTGGTATTGTATTTGGTTGATTTTCTCAATTTTTGTTAGATCTGTAATTCAGATGATGCTGTATTCAATTCTTTTTCATAATTCTTTTTTAGATACTATTCGAGGCGATAAAAAAAAACAACACTTATCCCTTTCTTTTAAAGCTGAAAAGCTATAGTTGCAAATATTTCCTATGCTTTCCCAGAAAAAAGTTGATCCTAACCTTCAAGTAGAAGTGAAACCAAGCATCAGGGTCAGAAAAATTCAGGAAGATAAGATGCGTAGACAACTTCAGAAAGAAGAGTTTTGGCGACGTAAGGAACAGCAAGAACGCTTGAGGGAAGAGATGAGGTAACCAATTAATGGGTTAAAAAATTGAAAATTATACATTGTTAAGAAAGGGTTAAAATATAATAAGATCATGAGAACTGAGGATAAATTGTTCAGATTAGTTTTGTTTTTAAAACTTTCAGAATGGAAGATGAAATTTACTGGGGTCATCGACGTCTAGAAATGATGGGGGGTCCTATTCCTCCAGAATTTATGGACTGGCAGAGGTTTGGACCTATGGGACCTATGATGCGTGTCCCATTCCCCATGCATCCTATGGTAATTTTTATTTTCTACTACACTGTAAATTATTTATAAAAACAAATTATACATTTATCTCCTAGCGAACAATGCCCTTTTTTGATCAGTGCTGCATCTTTCATTGGATAGCTTTTCTAAATTTATTTAAACATTTTTTTTGACAGTTGCGAAGACCAGATTCTTCCGATGACAGACATGTTATGACCAAACATCACAGTATTTATCCAACTGAAGATGAGGTAAATTTTTCTATTTATTTTTTATCATTCAGATGTTTTATTGTTGGTTTGACGTTTGCAGACCTGTTTACTCTTACGATTTTGGCGTACAATGTAAGATTTTGAGGTGTATAAATTATATATACTGCACGTTTTTTTTTCTATAAAGAGAATATATTGAACGATTATGTGATGATATTGTACGATTTTAAGAGTTTGAGGGTAAACAGGTCTGCGTTTGGTATTGGTCCTAGATTAAAGCTGTAGTATTTGTGAAATCTATTACAAATCTGTTAATTTCAGCTTCAAGCAGTACAGAATATTGTATCAGCGTGCGAGAAGGCACTAAAGTTGGTTTCAGATGTTTTAGCTGAAAAGTAAGTTTAAATAAATTTAAATGCTCTACTTTTTTATCCGAGGTTGAAATAATTAAATAATTATCAAATTTATGGGGGAACACGTTATGAGTGCTTTGTTTTTTAATTAAATTTGTATGGGCATGGCAGCCTTGTTATCAATTTTAAATATACTGATATGGGTTAACTGTATGATCCATATTATTTTCAGTGACAACAAAGACAAAAAACAAGAAAAGACAGAAGTGAAAAAAGTGTCACCTAAAGTTGAAGTGTCTGAAAGTGATAAAGAGGGGTCAGTTGTCACACATATTATGGAAGCTTTGAAAATGTTTGTAATTTACTAAAGTAGAAGAATCATTCGTTTTAGCTTAGTTTTAACTCTCTTGGTGAAGAGCTTTACAAATTATCTGTTGCCCCTTAAAGTGATTAGAATTTTTTTGTGTGGTCATTTTTTATTAAATAATTTATCACCATAAATTTTACATATTTGACTGAAATTTGAGAATGGTGTTCTTCATAAATTTAATTTAGTAAAGAATTAAATCTTAACTTGGTGGTCTGTGGTCTTAAAAACAGACCTTGCTAAAGGTAAAATATTTATTTTTTACTTAGTAGTCATTCCATGTTTTGCTCCCCCAATTCTTAAAATTCAATGTTATAGGAGCTGCACCAAGAGAGTCAAGGAATATTTAGTTTTTAGTAATTGATTTCATAAATAAAAATTTATATAAAGGTTAATGAACTACATTGTTAACTCTGGTTAATCATTAAATCCCTTAAGTATAGACACATAAGCTGAATGGTTTATATTTTGTTAGAAATTTTCTTTTCTTTTTTTTTTTAAATATATATTTTTTTACTAGGCACATGGTAATAATTCAATAATTTATCATCATTAAGTCTCAGTTAATAGCAATAAGAAATATTTATCATCTTGGTAAAGTCAACACTTTAAAACTAAAGTTTTGTTTATATTCTGGCATTTTTAACTTTTCACCTGGTACTGATGAGTAAAGGTAATGAAATTTTTATTTTTTCCCAGAGAAAAGAAGGATGAGTCTGGATCTAGCCGTGTTTTAAAAGGAGTAATGCGTGTTGGTGTGCTAGCTAAAGGACTTCTTTTACATGGAGATCTGAATGTTAATCTTGTTGTTCTCTGCTCAGAGAAACCAACGCGAACAATGTTGGAGCAGGTTGCTGATGCACTACCAAAACAATTGGCAGTAAGTGTATTTTTCTAGAATTGAAGAAGAAGAAAAAAACAGCTAGTGAAGTGATTTAAATGAATAATATAATGGAGATTTAAAAGGTTGTTGTTTTTTCAACCCACTATAAAAGTTATGTTGCCTCCTTTTTGACCAATATGTAACATGTTTGAATTTAGTAAGACAGCTGTTATTGTGGATGAGGTAAAAACATTTTTAATACAACCTCAACCTCCAAGTCAGAAGAAAGTAGCCACCTGGTTGTTTTTGTTCGATGTGGGCTGTACACAGGCAAAAGATTATTATATTTTCTATCAGATGTGTTAATTTTAAAATGGCAAAATTTTATTTTATGCAAATGATTGTATTAGTTTCATTTCAGGATATTTTGAAACGATAATAGGGTTTGGTTTTTATTTTGATAACTTGCATGAAGCAGTGATAATATTAAAAAACAAATAAAGAGATGTGCTGCGTTTTTTGGCGGTTATGCTCTATCTATCATAACCATTTATTATATTTTTTTTAAAACTTATTAGACTGTGACAAGTGAGCAGTTGGATGTAAGACGCTGTGTTGAGGAAGCTGCTATAATAGTCAGCAGTGAAGCAGATCCACCTACCAGCTGCACCATCACTTTGACTTCACCCATAATGCGAGAGGCCAACTTGCCAGATGGAGGTAACCCATAAGCTAGATGACATTTTCTAGGTTGCCTAAGCCTTCATCCCAATAACAAGGAAAGAAATAGATGTGCTGCTTAAATCAGTCTCAGGTCCTTCAAATTGAATATATCTGGGGAAGCACTTCAGTGAAAATTCTGATTTAGCAGCCACACTGTAGAGTGGTCATGTAAACTAGGTGAAATAAATAGCTGTGACGGTTCAGGGCAAAATGAGGACAAAGGGTTGTGAAGGTTGTCAGGGTTATGAAATGGTTGAGTGAGACAAAATTTTAAAAACCAAGTGAGCAACTACATTATTAATTTCATATGCAACCCATTGTATTTAAAGTAAAAGTTTTCTGAAACTGGCTAAGCATCACTGGCATTTTACCACACTCAGCAACGTGTATATGAAGTTATAGTCTTTGTCCTAATTTTGATGCAGAATGTCACCTACGTGCTAATGCAATATTTTGCTCAACTCTTGCAGGGTTCGAATTAAAGAATGACTCACATAGTAATGTCTGCAGCCAGGCTTGGATTTGTTTTGTAATTTGTAGCTAACACAATAACTATAGAGGTGTAGATTGTTCTATAAAATTCGAACCTTGCTGTAAAAGTAAACAGTTGAAATCAATAGTGTAACCTGACATGATCATTCTACCTTTCCCCCTTGTGTCTCCCACATACTTTAATTGACCAGGTTATAAAGAGAAAAGGCTTGCAGGTTTCATTGGCTGTGAAAATGTCACACTTACATAATTTCAATTTTCTTTCCTCTTAATGACATGAATGCTGCGCAAAGCCATCTAAAGTACCCACAGGTGTGATTGAAAAGACGGAGCATGGAAGGATTTTTGACCATTCAGTTGGCATTGGGGGCACAAGCACCATGTTGTCTTTTGATAAACATTGCAAATCTGATTAATATAATTAGTTTTATTCCATGTGTAGGATAAAAGATATTTACCATAAACTGTTCCTCATAAATTGTAGAAACACCTTGTAAATCTTTTTACCTTAAAAGACAAAAGTTTTCCAATGATAATTTCTAAACAAATTTAGAGTATAATTAAATAAAAATTCTCTTAAAAAGTATTAATAATTGTATTTGTAAGGAGACCAAAATTTGTTAATTTGATACTTTATCCAAAAATTCCACTACAGCTCAGTTTTATTGTAATGCTAAATTTTAATACTGGTGTGTGGCAAACTATTAATGGTGGTATGTGGTGTGAACCTTCTGTGTCTGAAATTATTCATGTAACATTATTTCTCTAAGTTGATCTCTAAAGGTTATCTGATGACAGCTCCAATAAATAATTTACATGATGTACTTAAATAGATCTATAAAATCTGAACCATAAAATCAATAAAGTATCTACATTTTAAGCACTCTTAACATGTAATTATTATCCTTATAATTCATATGTGAAAACTGACAAGAATTAAAAGTAATTAATAGTCTAAAATAAGTACTTTAGTGCATATTTATAAGAAAGGTTTCTTTTATATTCGAGTTGTATGCTAAGCAAAAGTAAGGGTGTTGTGCTTATGCCCCCAAGCTATCAGACCGTCTGATGGTCTGATGTGCCCTGCCAATCCTGCTATGGTCAAACACCCATTCCTGGCCAGTGAAACTGAATCCATCTACGTTTCTATAGAGACGGTTAACGTCAAAGACCCGCCGGATGTCCTCGACAGGCAGAAATGCCTTGATGCTCTAGCAGCCCTACGTCATGCTAAGTGGTTTCAGGTTTGGCACTTTCCTTTATACTTTGCAGCCTTATGTAATATTTAGTACTTCAGCCACTTTATTTTGATTTTTCTATTTTTTTTTTTTTTTTTTATTTTTTTTTTACGCCCAGTGCTTTTTTATTTTTTTTTTTTTTTTTTTTTTGATTTTGTTTTTTTTTTTTTGATTTTTTTTTTTTTTGTCTTTTTTTTTTTTTTTTTTTTTTTTTTTTTTTTTTTTTATATTTTTTTTTTACGCCCAGTGCTTATTTAATTTTGTTGTTTAATTGTTACAGATTTTGTGTCTTTGTTCATGAGTTCACGTTAGTTCTTTCTAAAACAATTGTTGAAACGAACAAAAGAATAAAAGAGGAAAAAAAAACAACTAAGAAATGAACAAAGACAGTTGGGAAAATGTTTACAAATTTTTTAAGTGTTGGTGTGTAAATATAGCTTAAGGCAGACTGGCTGCGGGTGCCTACTCTGACTAAAGCTGTCACTGCACTTTGTTGGCTGTGTGTCATAGGTGGGTGTTTTTTTATTTGTCCCAGTTATGTGTTGGTGGAGATGACTTGAACCCTAATTCAGTTACCCTGTGTTAAGTGTATTTATGACAATTTTTCCTTTATTTGACAGAACAGGCACACATAAATATGCTTCGTAAACAACCCAATGAGTATCACTAAGGATTTAAACTTATTCACATAGAGATATTAAGTTTGGTTGTTAAAACAGCATGTGTGTACACTGAGAAACTGGATATGGACCCAATATTGATAGCTATCATCATCCATCTGTGACACATGTTAACATGTATAATAACTAAATAATGCACTGGGGCAATGGTATACGCACCATGAGGCTGGAAAGTTAGGTCCTAATCACGAAGTGTCACACCCTGTATTCTGTTTGCTCAACACTCATATTCCATATTTATATTTCACCATGATGAACTGTACAAAAATAGCCATTTCAAATTATTAGCTCCATATGGCAATAGTAAACAAAAGTCATACAAGTTATGTTTATTTGATACATTTGATAATAAACCAATTTCAATATTTATTTTTCTTCCGTTTTTGCAACTTGTCTTCTTTAGGCTAGAGCTAATGGATTACCTTCATGTGTGATCATCATAAGAATACTAAGAGACCTGTGTCAACGTGTTCCTGCTTGGGTTCCTTTAAATGAATGGGTGAGAAAATACACAACAGAAAAGGCTGACATCCTTAAAGCCTTCTGGAAACTGCTTTAAATAAAATCTTAACACCTTTTTGAAGTTTTAGCTAAGTTTTTTTTTATTGTCTTTTTAGTTGGTACCGGTATGTTCTTTGTTTAGTTTTGTTAACTTTCAGGTTTCCCTTACTGACATCATGTAGTTATCCTGATCTACATTTATAGTGTTTACAAAACAATATTTTGATTACAAGTCCTCAGATTTCTTTTAAGGGAAATCCATCTTTAATCTATGTTTTATTATTTTCTCTTTTAATTTGTTAAGGCTATGGAGCTTCTTGTTGAAAAGTGTGTGAGCACTGGTGGTGCTAATATGGCTCCAGGAGATTCCCTTAGAAGGGTCTTTGAATGTATAGCTTCAGGAATATTCCTGCCAGGTTAGTTTGGTTAAAAACTTGTTAGGTCACTAAGTTAGATTTTTAAAAAACTTCTCAAGAATATAATTTCAGTCTTTGATGAAGATTTTTAATGTATTCAATCTAAACAAATATACTAACTTGTTTTTGAAGGTGGGCCTGGTTTGTATGACCCATGTGAGAAAGAGGCTTATGATGTTACTGCCACATTGACAAATCAACAACGTGAAGACATAACTGCACTGGCTCAGGTATTTAAACTTCATAAAATAGATGATTTTGAAATGTAAAGATTTAAAAATATTAATTCTCAATGTAACAATTTTATTAGTTTGATGTTGGATTTTTATATTAGGATCAACTGTTAAATTTGCAATATTTTCCAATAAAGTGTATTCAATAGTAATATCTTTAGTGTTGTTTTAAAAAATCAGCAGCACATGCTGATTGGTAAACATCATTAATATTATTTGATGCCTTGTAAAGTTGTAAATGGCATTTGAACATTTATTGTTCTAGATTAGTTTTTCTCTTGCATTAAATATTCAATAATCTTAAATCCCTTAAATAACTAACAGAATGCGCTGAGATTAATAGCATTCCGACAAATCCATAAAGTACTGGGAATGGATCCTCTACCAGCTCCCAGATTCCCTACAAAACGATTTAGCAACAGGAAGCGTCGACATACTAGTAGCACCGGAGAAGAAGGCATGTACAATAATAACTTAAATAAACAAAATAATCTTAACATTTTAAACCACACATAGGGAAAACAAATGTTAACCTACATGTCAAATTTGTAGTTTCTAAAAAAACATTTTAAATTTATTGAAGATATAAATAAAACTGAATGTCAGGGTTAGCAACCAGAGAGGTTTGGATTCCTATTAAAAGATTATTTTACAATCATTATATACATGTGTTTGCTTTTGATAGTTCATCCATCGAAAGTCGATAATGACCATTTAAAACATTGGCTTGTTGCTGGGTCTGAATCTGCCCCTATGTATGGAAGAGCGCCGTGAGTCTCGATTCTTTGAGGACTGTTCCCACATGTCTGGGTCAATGTGAAATGCTTTCAAAGATGCTTTCGGTGTGTCTTTAAAGTGTTTCTTCTGTCCCCCCAGCCAACCGCCTGCCCTGCTTGGCATTGACATCAGTCTTCTTTGTGTTGATGATAAGACCAAAGTTTGTGCAGGCATCCGAGACATTTGCAACACTGCGTTGCATATCGGTGTCTCATTTCGGCATTAAGGGCATAGTCATCAGCGTACAGAAAGTCCCTGATGTCTGTCCAGACCTTAGATTTAGAGATTCCTATGGCTCCCTTCCTGAAAGCATTAGCATGGCAGAGAACATGATATTGAAAAGTGTTGATGCCAGGGATGCTGGGTGGCCGAGCGGTCTAAACTGTCTCAAACCAAATAGCAGGTGGTCTGGAGTTCAATCCCCACCAAAGCCAACATCCCAAGCACCCCGGGTGGATGGGACTCGTTAGCCTTGGACGGCAACCCATCTAAGAGAGGGCAAACTCTGAATTTAAACCAGGAACCAGAATGATCAACAAATTGATCGTGGGCCCCTCAAATATAAGAAGAAGAAGAAGGATGCAACCTTCTTTGACACCATTAGACACAGGGAATGGTTGAGACATTTCTCCATTTTCCTGTACCATGGCCTGAACACTATCTTGGAATTGTCACACCAGTGAAATCACCTTTTTGGGCCATCTATATTTGCCAATGATCTACCAGAGATCTTCTCTGCTGACAGTATTAAAAGTCTTAGGTCTACATAGGTGGAGAAGAGGTCAACATCTTGTTCCTGACACTTTTCCTTCAGCTGTGTGGCCATAAACACCATCTCTGCAGTTCTTTTTAAAATTGCATTGACTTTCTGGCTATAGACCCTTCTCAAAATGCAAATTGAGATGGTTTACAGGGATTCTAACAAGTATCTTGCCAGCAATGGAGTGCAAAGATATGCCATAGTAGTTGTTACAGGATGGAAGGCTCCCTTTATATTTGTAAAAGTGGACAACAGATGGGCCCTTAAAATCTTGTGATATTTTCAATTGCTCTCACTTAAGTAGGAACAGCTGGTGAATCATTTCAGTCAGAGCTTTGCCACCTTCCTTGTAAATTTCAGCAGGGATGGAATCATCACCTTCACTCTGGACAGAAGGCAAATAGATTGTCTTTTTTGGGAGGGGAGGGTGTGCATTCCATTAATTGATGGATGGGCACCTACAGGAGTCAATTTATGGCTTGTCATTGACAATTGGTTGATTTAGGACACTGCCCAGAATTTGATAATTTTTTTTCTTTCTCAGTAATCAGAGTTTTCTCATTAGCACTCAAAAGTAGGAATGATCCTGAGGAGGTGGGGGCCATAGACTTCATTGAGAGTGGAGTAGAAGTTTCTCAGATGGTATCAGTCCGCATCTTCCTGGAGTTTTGAAGACTGTATTTTTGATCCAGCAGCTGGTTGATTTCCATACTGTGTTCATCTAAACAGTCGGGATATTTTTTGGAGCTTTGTCCCAGAAACTCCATAGGGGTGTTATACAACATTGCCCAATCTGATTCGATGTTATGATTATCTATAGATTTGTATTTCAGACGTTCTTCCAGAGCATCCACAAAAGTTTGTTCGACTCTTCCACTTTGTCATGTTCAGGCGTTTGGGGTTCTTCTTCCCCGTAGTGCTATTTTGGGTGGTAAGAAGGTTGAGCTTGGTGATGATAAGACGATCGATCTGTCCAACAGACTTTCTTACATGCAAGTCCCGACTGTCCTTTCTCCTGATCATAACATAGTCGATGAGATGCCAAAGTTTTGAGTAAGGGTGCATCCAGGATGTCTGATTAAGCGTGGGAAGGCGCAATACTGTATTGGTAATGAGCAATTCATGCTCAGCGCAATTCTGGAGAAAGAGGGGATCGTTGCCTTCGTATTGGTTCACTCTGATCTTTCCCAGTACCCTAATCCCAAGCGATGTGATCATGGCCCACTTAAGCTTTGAAGCCACCAAGAATTATGAGATAGTCATGCTTCAGAACATCAGCTATGACAGAGTGAGGATCCTCATAGAACTTGGTCTTTACTTCATCTATGTTGGTCATTGTTGGAGCATAGCAGGTGATGATTGTGAGGTGTTTTCTGTCTGATAAGAGGGAGAGTTTCATTATTATCCTATCATTGACTCCCGTTGGAAGTCCAGTCACCATACTAATCAGTGCAGAGTTTACCCTTTCCTGCAAGTCAGGTCTCACTAAGGGCTGCAATATCTACCTTGTACCTGGGTAGTTCATTTCCTATGAGGGCTATTCTCTGTGATCTACCTTTGTCCTTGTCCTGAAGAGTGTGCACATGCCTAGCACCTATTTTTAGTGGGATATTTTTTATCTTAAGTTTGGACTTTAAAGATTTATTTGAATTTTGACTGCATGCCTAGAGTCCCCTCCAACCACTGGATAGGGAAGGTTGCAGCAGACAATATTAAAGGCACTTTCTCTAGGCCCTTCCTCATGCCATGGAGGTGAGCAGTGTTCTTAGGGGGCTGCCGGACACCACTTCTGCTCCTTTATTATGATGAACGACATTATGGCCTGAGCCGCCTATGTGCAGGCTTGCACCTATGGCTGCCAATGTACCCGCACCTGCCACTTACCCATTGCCACAGGACTTTGTAGGTGAGGATATAAACTAGGATGGACTGGTGTTTAAAATGACTTGCGCTATGACCTGGATTTAAGTGAGGAAGAGTTGCGGAAATCATCAACCTCACCCTCTCGCCCAAAGCCATCCGAGTCCAGCATCAAGACAAGGTCGAGAGGGGATTGGGCGCAATGAATGACCATGGCATTCTACGTGTCTTGCAATGCTCTGAGGGATTCACATCACGTTGCTGTCTCCATTTTCCTGTCTGTTGACCAACTCCTCTGGATACAGTCTTCACATGCTGAGGGGGACAGGCCCTTGTTTACCCAAGACTTGAAATACGGTTATACGGCTACCCTCGACCTGGTTTTGCCGACTAATCAAAGCCAATTTCCATGGTGTGGTAGCTGTTGATGCTATTACAGCTTCATGGAGCCACAGGTGAGAGCTGAGCACTACGTGGACCAAAGATTGATTAGCTACCCCAAAGGACTACGACTACTGCACAATCAGATGTACTACCTCTCCATATAGTACATCATACACCATGTTATGGAGATCTTGAGTGATATAATGCTAGAATCAAATGCAATTACAAACTGTATGTTGATTTGTTGCATGCTGTTAATAAATTTTGAAAGCGTTCTCTATTAAAAATGGACTGTTGACCTCGTCATACATTTATAAGGCCACACTATGTGCACACTTATTTATTTAAATATATTATAATTATTTTCCTTCCTCAGCTGCTGAAAAAAAAGACCGCAAAGAAAAAGAAGCAGAGACAGCAGCCCAGTGAAGAATTAAACTGTTTCTCTCAAGTGTTCAATTGTATTTTTAAAACATTTCATGTTGATATATATTTTTTTTATAAGATTTTTTCAAAAACTGTAAAGCATGTTAAGGTGTGTTTTGTCTTTACACCTGTACAAATAAAGTTATTTTAAGTTTCTTTGTACTCATTTTGATATTGTATTAAGTAAAACTTGAATTCTATTCTTGACAATAAGGGAATTAATAAAGCTGAGTTATAATGCATTTAAACAATGGAGTTTTGACATTTTAAAAATTTACTGTAATTTATTTTTCACTTTTTCAAGTTCTTCTTTAACAACTCTATCAAACGTCAGAATTTTCTTATTAATTTGGGGTAGGGGGTGTGTTAAAATAATTTTCAAACATTCTGTATTGAATCTCATAGTTTAAGAATAACTTGTGTTAAATGTTAGTATGGAATTCAGCACTATTTCTGTAGGCAGGAGGGTATTAAGTTAAGCTGTTGAGATGTAACGTTTCAACATGGACAGCCGTTTGGTACGGTACATCTTTTAATAGGACGGATGAAGACCTATGATGGTGCTGTAATGCCAAATGTTCAAAATATTTTTGAAGCTGAAATTGGATGCAAGCTAACTCCCACAACTAACTCTTTCTTGCCCATCAAGTGGTACCACTGTTATAATTTGGTATTGTGTTGCATCTTCCTTAGCTTCGTTGGTCAGTTCAATTCATTTCTGTTGTAAATGGCTTGATTATGTGCTCACTTTATTGATGGTTATGTTCATTTGTTCATCACTTAACTATTTAGCTAGACCCATATTTTTACTCTGTTCAAATCTTAGAATTCAACAAGCTGAACTACTAACAATCCCATTACCGGTACCCTCACTTGTATTGTTTGATGACATTTTGTTTCACTTTTGTTTTAGTACAAATAGCACAGCCCTAAAAACTGAGCTGCCTGTGTTTTGTTAATGATTCAGACTTGAGGATTCTGAAGCACTGGTTACCTCTCCCCAATGTTGACAAGCCGCCCCCACTCCCTCCCCAATACTGTAACTGATCTAGAAATACAACCACTGTCATCACTTCCTGCTGTTGTCTGTTCTTGACATTGAACTGCATTTTGTTTTTCACCTTACAATTTTGTGTACATTAGTTTTAAAAATCATCTAAACTTGTTTTTTTTTTGGCTGGATATTCGTCAGTTTTCTCATCATTTACTGTTGGCTGCTTGCTCTGATGTTGTCAAGTAAGATCAAGTATTCTGAAAAAAGAAGAAAAAAAAAGGGACAAGTTTTTGTTTTTTCATAACTTAATTCATTGATTCATTGCCACCTTCAATTGAGAATTGATGTTGTGTAAATAAAAGGCCATATTGGACCATAAAATCTTGTTGTTTTCTTGAGTTTATTCTCTCCGAATGGAATGAGGATGTTGGTAGCTTACTTTGTTCATATATCTACGTCTGTAATGCAGGGGTTCTTAACCTTCTTGTATCGCCACACCCCCTCTTAATTTTATAACGTGTTGACTGCCCCCCCCCCCCCCCGTCATCTCTATTTTATAAATATTTCCCCATCTATAGCACCGTCAAAGATTTTCTTTAGTTTATTTTCTCCGGATGGAATGAGGATGTTGGTAGCTTACTTTGTTCATATATCTTCGTCTTTAATGCAGGGGTTCTTAACCTTCTTGTATCGCCACACCCCCTCTTAATTTTTTAACGTGTTGACTGCCCCCCCCCCACCCCGTCATCTCTATTTTATAAATATTTCCCCATATATAGCACCGGCAAAGGGGATAAGGGTTGTAACTTTAGTGTAGCGATTGGGGAGGGGGGGGGGTCTCTTCAGAAACTAGGTACGTGTATTCACACTTCACGCCAACTGCAATAACTATCTTAAAATTCTGACGGTCCTTGTGCTGTAAAGTAATGCAATGTACTTTAATTATTGTCATGTTATTTGGTGTTTTCATGAGTTCTAGATGTCACAGTAGACAGTAATATTTAGTCCAATATTCGCCTTTGAGTTTGAAGCCATCATAAACAAACGTCACACGTTTTGGGGGGGGGGGGAGAGAAAACTTAAAATTAACCTTTATCCTTCATGGCGTTAAGCCTCTTTCCCTACCTTATACTTATATCTCACCCCCTAAACCAGGAGTCTCAAACTCAACTTATCCGGGGCCCGCAACAGGTCTGAGTGACACTGGCCGGCAACAAGTATTTCACCAAAAAGTGATTTCAAATTCAATAAAGTACAACTGTTACAATGTGTTCAACCTTTATTAATAACCAATAAAAAAAACATAAAGGGTTCTCCAAGAACTAGGCTTCACTTTCTTCATCCTACTCCTTGTTGCCAGAGACCTGGCAGCGCTTCTTCTTACAATCTCATAAATTGTCCATGTTTGTCTGTTTTTCAATTCCCTTCCATGAACTTGCACTGAAGATCAATCAGCTCCATTTATTCAAGCTCAAAAAAAAAAAAAAAGTGGAGGGGGATGGGGGTGTGGTTTGCATCTTCTACATTAAAGGAGAAAGGGTCAGTCAAAAATTGAAAAGTTGCTCCTGTAGCTTTGCAATGGCATTAGTTTACATATCTATTGGATGGTGCCCAACTCCATGAGTACTTTGCATATTGGGAAATGGTTCTCTCAGAACCATAACACAAGTTTTGTGCAGAATGTCCTGACATTGTCATAGGCAACACTGGCAAGCTGACCCTGGTCTTGTAACTTCTTGTTGAGTACATTCAGCTTCTGTGTAGTGTCAACAAGAAAAGCCAAGTCCATGAGCCATTTGGGATCACTTAGTACAGGAACAACCACCCCAGCCTTCTCCGTGAAGGCTTTGAATGCTAAAACGTGTTCAAACAGTAGGCAGGAGCAGACAATGTTTATGAATTATTGATGCGAAGGAAGATGCTATTGTAGGTAGGATGAATTTTGATTTTTTATCGAAGAAAATGCCTTTTTGACTAACCCTATTTTGAAAGTGACCAAGTTGACGGGCTCGGAATTTCCCTCACTCGTAAACAATGGCGGCAATTTTAATAGGGATTCTTTGATACTGTGTAAGATTGCTACAATTTTACACAATTAAGGTTGTGCCTTACCCACTAACTGACTTTTTAGACCTTTCTCAAAACCGCACATGTAAGCCATGTTTGTCTCATAAAATGCTTTAAAATAACAATTTTCCTCCGATCTTAAAACGGTTTTTACCATTATAATCAACGTCTAAACCTATAACAAAAAAAACGTAATAAAATCATAATTAGTCTGGTAGGTCAGATTCGACTGAAACAGTCACGGAGGGTCACACTATAATTATAGATATGAGAATGGGGAAAACGTGCGGGCCGCATTAACACTAAAATTTGCGGTCAGGTAGGGGCCGCAAAATATCGTCTTGCGGGCCATAAATGGGCCGCGAATTCGAGACCCCTGCCCTAAACCATGCTTAATTTTTGTCTTGAGTCGTAACGGGCTGTAGTAATTTTAATGACGCATTAAAATAAAAATATTAAATAAATTAATGCTTAACATAATGACATGGTGAAAAAACAAATTGTCAACATAATATCCTTGTGTAAAACATATCGACTGACCAACTGAATTTACAATGCGACCTTTTGAACTAATTTAAGGCCGTCTCGGCCTAAAGAAAAAAAAAAAAAAAAAGGCTAGCCAACACCTGCTTAAAATCCTGTCATATGTTGCGCACTTTCCTTTCACCTGACTGGTCACACGAGACGTGCAGTTTGCAAACGACAGCTCGGTGAACTCTAACACTTAGCGAAAATAGGACTAGGGATAACAAAGAGAGACGGAGGATGTATCAGAGAGGGGATATCAGAGAGAGAGAGGGGGTGGGGAGAGGGAGTGAGAGGCCAGAAGCGTGTTGGGCGCCTGGGGAAAGTTTTCTTTTTTTTTTTTTTTGTATCCCCCTTTCCCTCAACTCTGACTCTGAAACCCAAATAAGATGCCATAAAAAAAGCCAATTTTGCATCCTACCTATAGCCTGGCATATAGAATATTTTCCACTCTTCCCCCCCCCCCCCC